ACATTGATATGCAGACTGTCAGAGATAGGAGGTTCTATAGAATAGGATGTTCCAACAGTGAGGATCTATAAATATCTCTAGTTGTGATTAGAGGAGTACAGCTGTTTTGTGTTTTAGCGTTATGGCTAATACAGCAGGTTAACCAGTATATTTTTTGACTTGATCACTGTTTTATGATAATAGACATTAATACAGAAGCAAATCAAACAGCAAATATTACCTATTAGCAAAAATTTGCTAATCAAACATTCTTCATTTCACCACGCCACTAAACATGCCATCTTACAGTATAAAGCCTGAAAACAGACCTCTACTGTCATACAGTGAAGTGCACTGCATGAATAAGCTAGATGCTCATTTAAAAATAGACATTTAGAGCTTTTTATCCTAAGAAGCTGAGAGTTATCAGTTGTTTTGCTATAGCTACTACTATTTTCATGTAGTTTTGATATTGATCAAATATTTTTTGCCAATTTTAACACACAATTTCTATTTATTTATTTATTTACTTTACTAACTCATTGGAAAAAAAATAAACAATACATTTAAAATGCACCATTATTTTGTGTGTAAATGTGCATTAAAATGTGCAGAAGTTCGATGTGTTGACGATGTGTTAATTTATTTTCACATAGAAAATCAAAACAATCAAAATATTTCTTCTTCTGCTTTCAAACACAATGTGGAAGGGATTTAAAGTTTATAAGATGGCATTTTTTTCCATTGCAAATCCATTTAGAGAAGCACCAGAATAGAGAATAGAGAAATTTCTCCCCATCCTTTTTAACAGTCCTAAATGGATTTGCCCTGGAAATGAAGGCAGTTTTTTCATTTTTATATGTAAGAGTGCCCTGTGCAAAAAGAACTTTTAGTATTAGTATGTCCAGCCTCAAGTCTGTCTTTCAGAATCTGCGCTTTCCACACAGTTTCTCCACTTGTTTCAGCAAACTACAAGCCAAAAATAGGCATATTAAATTACAACATGATTTTAAAGGCTAAACATGATCCTGTTTATGATAATCCACTGGAAGAGGGCAGCATGCCCCCAGTTTTACTCTCAAGAGTTTTAGGAAATCTCTAGTTGTAGCTTTAAAGAAAGTGCTTTGTCAAGGTCCTGATTTCTATGCCATGACAGACCATTAATAATACAATATGAAAGTGTGTATATAATATGTTATGTGATGTAAATGAGAGTTTGTATGCAAACAGTGTTATAGGATAATATATTGTCACTCTTTGATTTTTTTTTTCAGTTTTTTTTTTTCTACATCCTCACAGCTCTCCTTTACACTGTGTGAAATTTTCATGATGAATGGACCAATAAAAATGGTCCAAAATCACAAATACAATAAATAGAAAATCTCTTAGTAGTTTACATAGAATGGAAGAACGTCTCCTGTAAAGTTTTGGAGATACTTGTACTTAAAGCCTTAATCATTACAAATATTTTGATATTGATACTGATACCTTGAATTAAATACCAGTTCCTGAATGCTACACTTGTTAATGACAAGTTGACAGTGGGAGGGGCTTAAGCTAGAAATGAATGTGAGGTTCTGAAAGTGGATAAATTTAAATTCGCTGACACGCACACAGGATGTACTTGGCCAGTCAGCAGCCTAGATTTTTGGACATGCATGCTCATTGGCTCACTAATTGAACGACACAGAACTCTGTAGTTCTGAAGTAATTCACTTGGACCATGCAAGTAGACATGTGAATCAGACGTCTAGTAACAAAATGCCAAATGCTTTGGATAAGAATCACGTTATGCATTAAAATGTGATGATGCTCACATTTCTTCAGTAACAAATTATTTGTCTAATGATATTCAGAAACTCTACTTGCTGGCTTTGTTTGAATTTATTTGGTGATATCCCACCGCCCTTACTCATACAACAATGATGAATGTTGTCTTTCACAACAGTGATATTGTTTCTATTCACTGTCGGAGAAAAAGGTACTGAACTGTACCCTCCATGGTAAGTTCTTTCAAAAAAGTATGAACAGCTTTTAATTTTGTGTCCTGAAGAAGGACTGAGTAAGCCGCAACACATCAGCACAATCTTTTAAGCACTACTTTGTGTTCATAAATACTCATACTTCTCCAAAGATCAAAGATACTTCAAAGAGGGCTAGATTAGACTTGTTGTCTGACAAGCTGGGCACAGGCTGACAATGAAGCCGCTTGAAATTTCTATTAACATACTAATAGGTTTAGATCAGAAACGCAACAGCTTTCATAGCTGTCAAATTTGAAATAAACACAGACTTTTGAGTTGGGAAAAATGTAATAGTTTAAGTTAATAGTATGTAGTAATATGTTAACCTTTGCCTTGTTTTTAAGATATTACACAACATTGGCCCCCCACACCCCAATTAAACATTTATCATGCAAAAAACAAGCATTGACATTAGCAAAGGTCCCCAAAAAGGAGATTGCATTGTTCCTGCACGAAGAAGTGCTTTTAGCCAGTCAGCGTTCTGTATAACAGCATCTAAACAATGAAACTTACTACCAGTCCATATTAGAGAAATTGGTTTTATTGCTCAGCTGAAGCTTTGGCGTATTAATAATCAAATATGTGAGATTAGAATACTAGCTACCTACTGACCTTTCAGCTGCCTTCTGTTTTTTTGTGTTGCATTGGTGGCATTGTACTGCTTTGAGTTTTAGTCTGTATGTATGTGTATGTGTTATTTGTGATAAATCATTGTAGGTTGCCATTTTAAGAACTGACCTTTGCTAACGTGAATGCTTGTTTTTTGCATGATAAATGTTTAATTGGGGTGTGGGGGGGCAATGTTATGTAATATCTTAAAAACAAGGCAAAGGTTAACATATTACTATATACTATTAATCACACAGTGTAAAGGAGAGCTGTGAGGATGTAGAAAAATAAAAACTGAAAAAAAAATTCAAAGAGTGACAATATATTATCCTATAACACTGTTTGCATACAAACTCTCATTTACATCACATAACATATTATATACACACTTTCATATTGTATTATTAATGGTCTGTCATGGCATAGAAATCAGGACCTTGACAAAGCACTTTCTTTAAAGCTACAACTAGAGATTTCATAGAGTTTTCCTAAAACTCTTGAGAGTAAAACTGGGGGCATGCTGCCCTCTTCCAGTGGATTATCATAAACAGGATCATGTTTAGCCTTTAAAATCATGTTGTAATTTAATATGCCTATTTTTGGCTTGTAGTTTGCTGAAACAAGTGGAGAAACTGTGTGGAAAGTGCAGATTCTGAAAGACAGACTTGAGGCTGGACATACTAATACTAAAAGTTCTTTTTGCACAGGGCACTCTTACATATAAAAATGAAAAAACTGCCTTCATTTCCAGGGCAAATCCATTTAGGACTGTTAAAAAGGATGGGGAGAAATTTCTCTATTCTCTATAATAAATTAACACATCGTCAACACAGATCGAACTTCTGCACATTTTAATGCACATTTACACACAAAATAATGGTGCATTTTAAATGTATTATTTATTTTTTTCCAATGTGTTAAACTCAAATAAAGTAAATAAATAAATAAATAGAAATTGTGTGTTAAAATTGGCAAAAAATATTTTGTCAATATCAAAACTACATGAAAATAGTAGTAGCTATAGCAAAATGACTGATAACTCTCAGCTTCTTAGGATAAAAAGCTCTAAATTCAGAGAAGTCAAAGCTCTAAAGTCAGAGAAGAAAGGCACTTGAACTTTAGCTATCTTTGTTACCACCTAATTTTACAGCACTGCTGCCACAATCAGGTGAAAGGAAGATCTGCAGCATACTGGCTAGCAGGACACTTGTACTCTAAAACAGAAGCCAGTTAAGATTTGCCTAAGATCTGTCTAAGATCTGTCTGTGGGCCACATTTTGCCCTGGGGCTAGACTTCGGACACTCCCGTCATAGATGGAGTGTCTGGGATGATTTTTGCTCTGGGAATTATTGTCTATACTTTTTGACTCTTAGTGTGAAACCCTCACAGTTTTTAACTTATGGAAAGTTACCAATATACACATTTTCTCTGGAAGAGTGAATGTAGAGCTTAAGGACCATCGTTGTACCATTTATATAGTGTTTATACATTAGGGGACAAAATGTACATGTACAGTACTCTGTTTTTCTGACAGTGTTCAATAATTACTTGACAAGATAATCCCCAAATAATATCAGCATTGTATTTAGAACCACTGTTATGTAAGTCACTGTTATATAAACCAACTCACTAGGCACTTATATATATTACAGATTATAATTTTTATTGATTTATATATCACATTTTGACCATCTGACTATGCTGCACTATGCTGTAAGTGACAGCTGCTTCTATTGTTTGTTCTGAACATTTTTTAATGTTTTCTCTTCACTTTTTCCCATATACTAACTTTTTCACTGTTCTCAGATGAAAAAAAAAATGCAGCTACAAAACTCACTTTACAGAAAAGCATCCTGTCTCCTCTGTGTACACAAATATAGTTACAGTGGTTGGCCTCATGGTGGAACCTTTTACATTTCAGCCCATTAGTATTGATTTGTAAGTCATCTTGTTCTTGGCATCAGCTGAGTTTATATAGACTTTGACTAGAAATTTCAGTCTTATAGTTTTGTACTTCTTGTGTTCAGCATCACAGAACGTGATTTTTTTTCTTGCTCATACAATTTTGAAGTTGAACCCACTAAAGGATTTTAAATTTTAAGAGGGTTTTAGAGGACTGGGCAGGATTTACAGTGCTGTCCAGAAATTTTGGTACCTTTGGTAAAGACGAGCAAAAAGCCTAAAACAATTTTGTTGTCTTTCATATTACATTGATATCTAACCTTTCAGAGTTAAATTAAGCAGATTCAATTTTTCATTTCTAAAACAACATCACAAATGTTGGTTCCCCCTGAATTTAGAATATGATGACCATGGCTGATACCTCATTCCTGTGTATCAGTACATCAGTCGTATCTTCTGACTTTTCATATAAATAAGAGGCTAAGGCATGTTCATTGCTGATATTTATTGAATTTTAAGCATCAGAAAAGAAATAATAAGAAGCAAAAACTAAAGTAACATTTTGTTTTAGATTGTAGAGTGATTCAGATAAGCAAACTGAATTGTAAATAAAGTCATAAATAGATTAACGTTGATTTGAGCAGGCAGAGCATGGGGATCACCGTCTTCTACGGCGCTGCTTGACAGCAGCGGTCTCCCTTGCTGTGCATTCCGTCTCTGTGCAGCCACACTTTTCAATAAAGATGTAAGTGTGTATGACCTTTGATCCATCTGGACAGATGAGTGTTGCTTCTTTCTGGCTGGTGACCAGTTCCTGACAACAGGAGCATGAGTGCTGGATTGTTCTGGTTTGCACTGAGTATCTGAGGCGAAGCAGAAGGAGAGAGGGTTACTACTATGAAATATTTCTAAACAAATTTTTCTGCAAAATGACTTATTTTATTGACATAACTATTTTGCCTCCACACATGTTCTTTAAGTGGCTGTGTCATATTAGAATTCAACACAGGTGAGCTGTTTTTGGCCCCTGGCATGTATTTAACTCTATTTTGATGGAGATTTTTTTATTTTTCATCACTTACCCAGATGATGTGCTGCAAGAGCCTTTGCAAGTCGTCATCTCCACCAGGTTTGCAGTTTTGCAGCCGTTGCTCTCGAGGTACGTGGAGGTCTTGCTTACACCACAGTGCTCAGTCTTGTTTATGCCTTGAGAGACCATGCAATTTACATTAATAAATTTGAATTTCAGCATAAATAGAATATAATATAGAAATGTGCACTTTCAATAGAATATGAACTAGGACAGATTTTGAACACTCACAGGTAACACAGCAACCATCGGGACCAACGACTATCGTTCCCTGTGTTAAAAGAGAAAGGATTTGGGAGGGTCTTTATAAAAGCAACAAAGTGGCATTTTACCTTGATCTAGTTATATTCTGTGTCCATGTAATTCATAGACAATAGTCTGGGTATCCCCAAAAGTCAGTCCTATTGATTCATTTGTTTTATTTCAGTTTTAAAAGTCATGTTGAATTGGTGTTGAACTGAAAGCAGCTTATGGAAAAAGTGAAATAAAAACAAAGGGCATAGTGTAGCTATTATTGTAACACAGGGCTAACACTCCATATCACTTTGATGTGATTATTATTAACTAATTGTTTCAGTTCACTCATAATAATCCATTTTTGTGGTCATAATTTTTGTCAACTCACAGGAATACAGTCATCTTCATTGATCTTTGGACAAACAAGCTTGGCCTCAATCACGATGAACTGTGTTCCAATCTTCACACACTCAAACTTCAAACATTTATCACTAGGTGGAGTCCAGATTTGACCAGGCTGTGGAGAAACAGGAGGAGTAAACTAGTGTTATGAGCAGCGGTGGAGAAAAATAAGTAAATGTGAAAGAGGTAAGTTACTGCATGTGATCTGACTTTGATGGACAGGCTTTTTTATTAACCACAAGTGAGTTTAAAACCGCATTTATTGTATTTTTATGTGTTTGGTTCCTTAATATGATATGTTCAGGCCTGTACAGTTATTTTAGGTTACATGTAGGATGCATTTTGTTATTTTAACCCATTTGTACATCATAATACGGTGGAAATGAGATCTTGAAAAGCTTATTTAACAAACATTTATACTTTTTTATTTATTTCCAAGAAAACATTAGACAAAACATGAATAAAAATAAAAATGAAATGCAATGCAGGTTAGTGGTAAAAGTAATTGTCATTGCTGTTGGAACAAAAACAAGTAATTCTGTCCATTTGTCATGAAATATACACACAATGTAAAAGTCAGCTGGCATTTTCAAATGTTGTAAAAAAGAAATTTTAATAGTTACTAATTATGTGTAAGATGATCAACTTTGAATTTAAGCTTTTAAGCATTCAGAAAGTTGCAGTCTTTTTGCACATGCAGAAAAACTCACCTTGATGGTTTCGGTGATGTTTCCTAACGTGGCCACGCAGCTGGTCTGCACACAGTTTCCACAGCACTGCCCTGTAACTGACTGGTACTCATATCCCTGAATGTCAAAACAGAAACAGACTGAATTTCTCAAGTCTTTGGGCAACTGAACACATAAAAAGTAAAGATCACTTTAGTTGTCTTCTACAGCACTTTGTTATTAGGTTCATCTTTATTTCTAAATAGATTAACTGACACAACAATTTTTACCTTTCAACTAATAGTAATAGTTTGACAGCATGAATTTCAGAAAAATTGTCTCTGGTCTCACCAGTGGGCAGAATGTGTCACATGGAAGAGCCTGACACTCAATTTTGTGCCATTGATTTTGTTGATCCATGTCATGACTGCATATGCACTGCTCACAGTTTTGCATAGGCACTGCTGAACCAGGCTGTAATTAAACAAAAGCATAATAAAAAAAAAAAAACTCCAGTACATGAACTGCTTGCAATAAACCAAACAAACAGCAAAATACTTGTATTCATTTATGACTAAATGGAAAGAGAAAAGCTTAAAAGGAAAACAGTCAGAAGCATACTTCTGTGGCATTTGAATTCACACTTAATTTTTATGAATTGCATCCTACTAGGTGTCACGTTCATGCTCAGAATTGGTCTTACCTTATATTCCGTATTGTTGAACACACAGACGTTTCCATTAGGCTCTGTAAAAGAGCACAGCAGACTTTTTAACATACAGTCTACATCTAATCAGCTTCTCTGAATAGATTAATTTCATACATAAATATATACACATGCTCATCTCCACTCACCACATGTATACTCTGGACAGCAAGCTCCCATTACAACCTCTTGAATGTATCCAACAGGGCACGTGAGCTTCTTAGAAGGACAAAGACGGCCATCACACACTGTGGGAAGATGTAAAAAATGAATAAAAACATGTAAATGACAATGATGCTGCCAGTAATTGCTGATTGAGAGTATCAAGGCCGTTGTTGACAATTTTTCACTGTAATAGTCATCCAGTGACAGTGTAGTTTAAACCAAGAAAACCTTTATCTCTGCTCAGAAAAGGTAGCCACTTTTATAGGGGAGGTACACTGACTTCTCACCCTCAACTTGTATTTCATTGCTGTTGATATAAACCCTTAAAAGTTATTAAAAGCAATTATTGCATGTGACAAAAGAATGCTCTAATTTTATAGGAATTATTTCTGACTCGTAGCTCTTTGAAACAGGAAAATTTGTGCACAAAGTGCAGATTATAAAATGTAAGTGTAGAAGGGGAGATATTGTATCATGAATTGAATTCAATGAAAAGTTATTGTTGTTGAAAGAAAAAATATTCTTTACATTTTTGCCATGCTTTTGTCAGTTTTTTACATAAAAATGAAAGTTGAATTTTCCAAAAGTTCTCCATAATATACTGGTTAACGTGTAAACAAAGTTCATTCAAAGTGGTTTGGTGTGAAATGCTCTGTTCTAGAGAAACCTGCTGAGTCGGTATTGTTCACAGTGGTGGTGATAGGAACTAGATGTCCACCTCTAAAAGCTCCCTCACCGAAGTCATTATATGAAGTGAATACACTGCATGTCTGAGAGATTGTTTCACAATCGTTTTGGCATAAGCTTTTGGTCTACACTGTATTTCTTAAAATCTATTCATGGAGGAGAAGATACATGCAACGCTTTTCGTTTTTCCACTATTTTACCATCATTAACATTCCATACTCAGAAGACACGTATGGTTCACTAGTGGCTTTGGATAATAAATAAAATGTCTATATTGTATTATAATAAAATGTCTATGTGTTATAGTCATTGCGACCCCTGGTTCTTATCACCATCACTGTAAAGAAATCTGAAAATGAAAGTAATAACCCTTGGTGGGTTAGTTATGCCTTTCTGTGGATACATTTGATGCAAGAGTGCCTTAAGTAGAATTACCAAAGCCACTGAGATGTAATCTTTATAAAAGAGTATTACAATATTACTGTTTTGCAGTAAATAAACCAAGCGAGTCACACCACTCACCGCATGTGATATTCTGGCAGCAGCCCACTGTCTCTGTGATCTTCACCTGACCTTCCTGATCGCAGGTAACTGGCTGTGGTGTAGGACATTTTGGAGCATCACAGTACACAGTCAGAGTTTCTGGCTGGCATGTGCATTTCTCACAACCGTTATTCCATGTCTCACCAGCCTAAAATGAATAATTATGTTTTTTAGATAACCACAGTGATACCACCGATATAAAAGTTTTGCAACAGATGGTTTCAAATCTTCACTCTGTCTTGTTCTTAATTGTTCTTTTGTCTTACCGGTTTCCACCTTCCATTTGGCAACAGGCAGATGTCTGATGATTCACAAAAAAAGTACGTATTGTTAATTTAGTATGCTTGAGAAAATCTAGCACTCACATGGACTGATGTCTAAAGCAGTTACACAATAATGCCATTGTTCATAAAAAGTAAAAAATAATAGATACATTAATAAATAAATACTTACTACAAGTAGGAACACAGACATCTGAAAATGGGTTCAGCAACGTAGTGCCTTCTGGACAATAGCAACCCTCCCAAGTTATGCTTTCCAAAGCATTGAATGGACTAGGCTCACTTATAAATTTCAGGTTATATCTGTAACAGCAGACAATGTAACATCACTGTGATGCTCTATTTCTATTAAAACCAATTTCTTCAGTAAGTAAGTGTATATTTGTATTGGACTGTACAGTACCTCAGATCACAAGTTGATTCAACCTGAGGACCACAAGCTTTGTATACTTTGGGTTCTTTACAGATGAAAGCTGTGAGTGTAAGAACACAGAAGAAACACAGAAATGTTTCAGACTTCAGCAAGTAAATTGACGAATTGACAGTTATATGCAGGTATCTACACTGCCTACTGCCTGCTGCCCCTGGCCACAACATTACACATTTTCATCACTAAAAATGCAGAGCCGGTACCTACTTGCCATGATGAAAAAAATCCCTTCTGAGAAACTACCAGACCAGCTGAATTTTCACACATTCGCAATGTTTTGCTATTCATAAGAAAATGACTACTTTTCACCCTCCTGCACAAGACCCAGAGACTGTTTGGTTGTACACGGGACTAACTCCATCAAATCAGATTTTGTTGGAATTAGGCAACTGTGCCATTAATGGTAGTGCTGCAACAGCTAACGTGAAGGGATCTCCATGCACTTTGTTTGTAGCCTGATTTAATAAAATATGGTTTACTGGCTTTAATGATGATCAATGCAAAAGACACACAAGTTCATTTTCTACTGGGGACTAGCTGAAACTAGTTTATGACTAGTTTATGCAGTGATCTTCAGTGATCCCATTAACAACTCCTCAGGGCCAACAGATGAAAGCATAATGAAAATCAAGAAGACTCAGATGTGTCAGGGGGATCAAATGGTTGTCTATATTGTAAAAGGGAGGATTCCTTCACATCAATCCCTGGTTTGACTGGAATAATGAAAAAAGTGGATGTGGGGGACTCATAGCTAAAGTGACACCTGGCTGGTTGTTGGTATCAAAATGTTCTTGTTAAATGTAAATACAGTGTATATATGACAAAATAATTTCAAAAATTATTAATTCTGGTCACTAATTATTCATTTTGGCAACAAGAGTCATTGGCTTGGTGACCCTAGTGACCTATCGGACATTTTTATGTCTGTCCACTCCTGTGTCATATGCTGCAACTTTTGTGCACTTACGACATGTTCCATTTGTGGCTTCTCTCCAATCGATGCAAACTCCTGCCAGAGCACACTCCTCTGCATACATTTGCAAACTAGCGCAGCCAATAGACACATTGTTCACGTGGCAAACATCAAAGTTGCAGGCCAAGAAAAAAGGCTCGTAAGGGACAAGCTTGTGGCATTTCTCAAAGACCCTGTTGAAAAGATCAAAAGAGCACACAACAGAGTGAATTCCATAGCAAGCGCTTAATACAAGGATTCAGCAACATTACTCTGGGTTACAAAACTTACCACCAGGTAAAATAAATTATTCTATATATTCCTGCCAGACAGAGGGGCCAAAATTGCCTGTGTTTTTCTCCTTCTCTGTTTCCTGCAACAGTATGTCAAAATATTGACTTAGTGTCGCAAAAAAGACTTATTTTCTCAAAATATTCTCTTTCTTTCTTGAAATTAAGTAACTCTTTATATCAACATAGAATCTCAAAATCTTGAGAAAACAAGTCAAAAGATATAAAATCTATGTTTCAAGAAACTTAAGTCATTGTTTTCAAATACTAAGTCAATATTTAATGAAAACAAGTCATTATTTTGATAAAGTCAACTGTTCAAGAAAATATGTTATTTAGAGATATATTTAATATTTAATATATTTTATATTTAATATAGTCAATATGTAAAGGAAAAAAGTGATTATTTTGAGACACTAAATGAGTATTTTGAGAAAATAAGTCATTATTTTGAGATAATAAGTCAGTATTTCAAGAAACTGCGTCATTATTTTAAGTCTGTATTTTGACAATATTTTGATACTGCTGCCAAAAACAGAGATGGAGAAAATAGAAGAATTTTTTTCCTATTTGTCAGGACAGGAATAGGCTTCCAAAATTGACACAATCTCAAAATGTTTTAGTTCTTGTGGGAGTACTTACTTGCTACTAATAATTTCGCAGATTGAATAATTAGTACAGTGCACTGGTGGTAGTGTAGGTGGAACTGGTTGGCAGGAGCCATTGTTTTCATTAACATGCCAGTAGGGAGCCATTTTTTCACATGATGATATAATGGTGCCATTTGGCAAGCGACAGTCATCAGTGCGGTTATTATCACATGTTCCTGAAAAGTTATTGAAAAATAGTTACATTCGAACAATCAAACCAACAGTGACAGTTGACAACTTGGATCATTGGACAGTTTTAATCTCACAGTCATCTACTAATAGGAGTGAATCTTTAAAGGACAAAAGCATGCATCACAGTAATCTGTTATTTTAAACATATCCTAGGAATATACCCACTTCAGAATTTAGATTTTTGTATATACTAGTAAGGACAGCATTTCAATATTATTATTCCATTAAATTTTTACAGTAGTAGCTAATTTTTGTAAGGCTGCCAATGATGCCACATATTGCACATTTTTATGAAAAATCCTTTTTTTGATTTATTAGAGAAGAGAAAGTCTTTTTAGCCTGGAAGGCAAGCTGTCTTTAAGAATAAAGGCTTATATGATGCGTTTTTGTCAAAATCATTACAATCACATATAAATCATTAAAACATTCATTGATTCACTGTAGTTTCAACAAAAGTTGTGGCCTTTTAGAAGCAAGAGATCAGAACACAAATTGTCTTACAATTATTCTACATGTAGCACCTACTGATCATTATTTTAGTAAAAAGAGAATATAAACTTACCACATTGTCCCTCAGTGTTACCGTGGAATTTTTGCCATGGGAGGTTGATGAAAAACATCATTCCAGTGAATGTGACCTGTGCACCAATCGCTGGTATCACCACCAGTGATTCAATGCCATTGTCTGTTATTCGGAAGTCACTGTTCTCAAATGGCAGCACGACTCTCTTGTTGTTGACGTAAATCTAAGGGGAAACAAACATTTTAAAAATCATACTTTAACTTCATCACCCACGAGTCAGCTGATCTCCCACTTCAAGCCTGCACAGAGAGTACTGAATTGTGGCTGAGTCGTGAGAGTTGAATGGAAAGAAAGAACTTTGGGATTGACGTATCAGTTTTCTTCCAGTGCTTTAAGCTTAAAGCTTTGACCTGGACCTATTCCGCTCTTAATTTTAGGAATATTTACAAAGTACATGCAGGTTGGTACAATCCATTCAGAAAAATGCAGAAATTATGTTGGAACTGAGAGTCAGCTGGGGACTTTTTTATGATACCTGCATGTGCAAGTATCAGTCATTTTCTTTCTTACATTTCTGGTGTGTTGAAACATACAGATCACATAAAATGTCTCTTGTCATAAGTAAAGTATCTAAGTAAATGTCTGAAGTGTGGACACGATCATTGAAGAATGGTGTTTGTTGACCATGAAATAACATGTGATTTCTATGTGAGAAACTGTGTAAAAATTAGCATCTGGCTAAATGTACCCTAATGACTTGTGGCTACAAATGACAAATGGCATCACTGGAATTGAAATCCCAGCAACCGAATCTACTTCTAGGCTGGTTGAGCTTCTAGAGCAATGACACAGAATAGTTTTTACCCCAAAAACTAATTTGTCAAATTAAAAAAAATACTTTTTCAGTAGTACACTTCATTAATACAAACCACTTCTATCTTTAAATGAAATTATATAAATAATTCTATTAGTTACCAAGTTTGTGACAATTCCATTAGAAATCTCCTGTGACATGAAAATCTTGAAGAATTTGTAGTACACTGTCAGTGATTTAGGACAGGAGAGGCCATCTGGAGAATCACAGTTGACATTGTCAATGATGACGCTGAAGTTATATGTTGGATGGATCTCTTTGACCAAGACATAGGAGCAGTTTCCTTGGAATGGGTAGTATGTTCCATCAAATGTGATGTAATGTGGGTCTCCAAAGCCACTGCAGATACCTGAGCAAGACACAACACACTCAGTCTTCCCTGCAGTGGAGATGTAGAGTATACCCTAATGTCCATAGCAATTGTAGCATTGTATTGAAGTGATGTTATCCAGTGTACTCACATTGGCAGTCATATTTGGAACAGCACCCAGAATCATCAGTGACGCTTACTGGTGGATGGTTGTTTACACACACAGGCAAAGGTGCAGGCTCACAATGCACATGCTCATGCTTGATTGTTCTGTCGACACATGTGATATTGGAGCATTTGCCATCTGGTATACTTTCACCGTTCTGAAAAAAAAGAACTAAATTAGACTTGGTCATAAAAAGAAACTCTTGGTGGATTACAGGAAGTATGGCATGTAACGTAACACCCTAAATTCTGTTACAGACCACAATATAGTGTTCTATGCCAAGAGAGAAGAAACACAGTTGTACAAAACATATTTGTACATTCTGGAATCACTTTAGACTACATTCTAAAGTCATCATATATTTTCCGCGAAAAGATGCCAAGTCAATGCTTTCTTACTGGTTTTAGAATGATTGTGCTCTTTTTTAAATTATTTTTATATACATTCTATGATATTACAACCCTGTTTCCAAAAAAGGGACACTGTGCATAATGTGAATAAAAACAGAATGCAATGATATGCAAGTCATTAAAGCCTGTATTTAATTGAAAATAGTATGAAGACAACATATCAAATGTTGAAACTTAGAAGTTTTATTATTTTTGAAAAAATATGTGCCTATTTTGAAATTGATGCCAGCAACACATTTCAAAAATGTTGGGGCTGGGGAATGTTTACCACTGTCTTGCATCACCTCTTCTTTTAACAACACTCATAAAGCTTTTGGGAACTGAGACTAATTGCTGTAGTTTTGAAAGTGAATTGTTTCCTCATTATTGCTTGACGTAGGATTTCAGCTGCTCAACAGTTCGTGGTCTTTCTATTTCATAATGCGCCTAATGTTTTCAGATGTGCACGTCATTCATGCCACGTGCACTAATTCAGACCCATACTACCTCAGATAGTGACTGAACTGTGCCCTGATAACAAGCCAGAAAGTTTTCAGAAAGATTTCTGAGTCCATGCGGTGATCGTGTGTGTTTTAAATGCAGTGCCACCTAAATGCCGGGAGATCACAGCCAGGCAATATTATTTTTGGCCTTGTCCTTTGCATACAGAGATTTCTCTGGATCCTTTGGATCTTTTAATGATAATGTATACCTTACATGATGAAATAACCAAGTTCTTTGCTATTTTACATTTCGAAACGTTGTTCTTGAATTGATGAATTTGCCCACACAGTCTTTCACAGAGTGGTGAACCCCTCCCCTCAGCCTCTGTGGGATACTCTTTTTATATCCAGTCATGTTCCTGACCTGTTGCCAATTAACTTAATTAGTTGTGAGATGTTCCACCAGTTGTTTTTTCCAGTATTAACTTTTTTTAAATGTCTTGCTGGCATCAACTCTCGGAATCCTCTAGGAGGTCACATGACTCTGGAATCTTTGTAACCCACCTATCCATGTTCAACCTCTCCTGATTATTGATTACTTTCACCTGTATTCCTTGTCGTGTGTTCCTTTAGAGTTAGTATAAAGCCTGGGCTTTTAGTTAGGTTCATTGTGAAGTATTTTTCCAGCTTACTGTTCATTTCAAGCCTTTTGTCTGTACTGATTTTCCTGGTTTGTGACTTTGCTTTGGTTTCTTGTTCACCTCTTCTGCCTAACCCCTTTTTGAACTCTGATTTGCCTCGTTTGTGTTCAGACCTCTTTACCTGCCTTACTGACCTTGTCTGTGTCTTGCCTGCTCCATCCAGACAGCTCACAATCTAATATGTTATCTTTGTACTAATTTGCGCAGCGTCCCAAACTGTTTTTGGACATGGGGTTGTAGGTTAAATTCACATAGAAAATATACAAAAATGATGCGCTGGATCACCTTTGTTTTTAACCAATTTGAGGGAAGTCTTACCTTTAGGGGTGGGTTATGATTGTCGCAGTTTGGTGACAGAGGTGTGGTAGTAGGTGGTGAAGTTGTAGTTACACCACATGGGGTCAGTTGTGGAACGAAGACACATGCGACATATGTATTTTTGATACATGTCATAGTGTAACACCATCCATCACCATCACTCACATTGTATACTTGGGAACCTGTTTTAAAATGGTAGTTTTTAAAAAGGAAGGAAACACAATTTGTTAATGTTTATTTACATGGTGGGAACTGAAAGATTACGTAATAAGCACAAAAAATATGGACATGATTCTCTATTATATGGTCTAAAAACAAATTCATGACAACTAAAAATAACATGGAGAAAAACACTGTAAACATGATGACTAAATATTATGAGTACTATGAGTAAATTAAAAAAATATTTGAATGTAAGTAAAAGTAAGTTACCTGGGGGATATTTTATTCCATCGAGGATGCAAGAACAATTCTGTGTAATGTAGGGAGGAGTTGATGTGGATGCAGTATGTACAAAGAGTGTAGAGGTTGTAACTGTCGGAGTTGTTTCAGAACAGTATTTATCACAACAGAGCACTCTGATTTCATAATCTAAGCACTGCTGCTGGAGATCCTGGTTTTGGTTCAAACAAATCAGTCCATCTTTAGCATTACAAGTCACTACTTGACCCAGTTGTGAAAGTGGAAGTCCTGGGTAGAGTTTTGCTCTGCATTCCACTTTACTTGGTGCGCTACAGATGCTAGGATAAGTCTCCGTTATTCTTTTAATTGGTACAATTTCGCCACCATTAGCTCCTGTTGTTGGAGGGCCAAAGTCCATCCATGCTGACCAATGGCAACGCTTACAGCTTGTTGTGGTCGAAATTGTGGTTTTTGTTGTAGATGTAGGTGATGTGCTTGTGGTTGGGGATGTTGTTGATGGAGTTGTTGTAATTGTTGACGTAGGTGTGGTTGTTGTTGTGGTTGGTGTAGATGTTGTTGTTTCAGTTGAAGTAATGGGACAAGGCCCAGGCTCAATTTCACAACAGTAGACTCTAATCTCATAATCCAAGCACTGCTGCTGGAGACCCTGGTTTTGGTTCAAACAAATCAGTCCATCTTTAGCATTACAAGTCAGCACTTGACCCAGTTGTGAAAGAGGAAGTCCTGGGTAGAGTTTTGCTCTGCATTCCACTCTACTTGGTACGCTACAGATGCTAGGATAAGTCTCTGTTATTCTTTTTATTGGTACAATTTCGCCACCATTAGCACCTGTTGTTGGAGGGCCAAAGTCCATCCACGCTGACCAATGGCAACGCTTACAGCTTGTTGTGGTCGAAATTGTGGTTTTTGTTGTAGATGTAGGTGATGAGCTTGAGGTTGTGGATGGTGTTGTGGTTGGGGATGTTGTGGTCGGGGATGTTGTTGTTGGAGTTGTCGTTGATGTAGGTGTGCTTGTTGTTGTAGTTGGTGTAGATGTTGTTGTTTCAGTTGAAGTAATGGGACAAGGCCCAGGCTCAATTTCACAACAGTAAACTCTAATCTCATAATCTAAGCACTGCTGCTGGAGACCCTGGTCTTGGTTCAAACAAATCAGTCCATCTTTAGCATTACAAGTCACCACTTGACCCAGTTGTGAAAGTGGAAGTCCTGGGTAGAGTTTTGCTCTGCATTCCACTTTACTTGGTGCACTACAGATGCTGGGATAAGTCTCTGTTATTCTTTTTATTGGTACAATCTCTCCACCATTAGCACCTGTTGTTGGAGGGCCAAAGTCCATCCATGCTGACCACTGGCAATGCTTACAGCTTGTTGTGGTCGAAATTGTGGTGTTTGTTGTAGATATAGGTGATGAGCTTGTGGTTGGGGATGTTGTTGTGGTCGGGGATGTTGTTGTTGTTGGAGTTGTTGTAATTGTTGTCATAGGTGTGGTTGTTGTTGTAGTTGAAGTATGGGGACAAGGCCCAGGCTCAACCTGACAACAGTAGACTCTAATCTCATAATCTAAGCACTGCTGCTGGAGATCCTGGTTTTGGTTCAAACAAATCAGTCCATCTTTAGCATTACAAGTCACCACTTGACCCAGTTGTGAAAGTGGAAGTCCTGGGTAGAGTTTTGCTCTGCATTCCACTTTACTTGGTGCGCTACAGATGCTAGGATAAGTCTCTGTTATTCTTTTTATTGGTACAATTTCGCCACCATTAGCACCTGTTGTTGGAGGGCCAAAGTCCATCCATGCTGACCAATGGCAACGCTTACAGCTTGTTGTGGTTGAAATTGTGGTTTTTGTTGTAGATGTAGGTGATGTGCTTGTGGTTGGGGATGTTGTTGTTGATGGAGTTGTTGTAATTGTTGACGTAGGTGTGGTTGTTGTTGTGGTTGGTGTAGATGTTGTTGTTTCAGTTGAAGTATGGGGACAAGGCCCAGGCTCAACTTCACAACAGTAGACTCTAATCTCGTAATCTAAGCACTGCTGCTGGAGATCCTGGTTTTGGTTCAAACAAATCAGTCCATCTTTAGCATTACAAGTCACTACTTGACCCAGTTGTGAAAGTGGAAGTCCTGGGTAGAGTTTTGCTCTGCATTCCACTTTACTTGGTACACTACAGATGCTAGGATAAGTCTCTGTTATTCTTTTTATTGGTACAATCTCGCCACCATTAGCACCTGTTGTTGGAGGGCCAAAGTCCATCCATGCTGACCACTGGCAACTTTTACAGCTTGTTGTGGTCGAAATTGTGGTTTTTGTTGTAGATGTAGGTGATGAGCTTGTGTTTGTGGATGTTGTTGTGGTTGGGGATGATGTTGTGGTTGGGGATGTTGTTGTTGTTGGAGTTGTTGTTGGCGTATGTGCTGTTGTTGTTGTAGTTGGTGTAATTGTTGTCGTAGGTGTGGTTGTTGTTGTAGTTGGTGTAGATGTTGTTGTTTCAGTTGAAGTAATGGGACAAGGCCCAGGCTCAATTTCACAACAGTAGACTCTAATCTCATAATCCAAGCACTGCTGCTGGAGACCCTGGTCTTGGTTCAAACAAATCAGTCCATCTTTAGCATTACAAGTCAGCACTTGACCCAGTTGTGACAGTGGAAGTCCTGGGTAGAGTTTTGCTCTGCATTCCACTTTACTTGGTGCACTACAGATGCTGGGATAAGTCTCTGTTATTCGTTTTATTGGTACAATTTCGCCCCCATTAGCACCTGTTGTTGGAGGGCCAAAGTCCATCCATGCTGACCAATGGCAACGCTTACAGCTTGTTGTGGTCGAAATTGTGGTTTTTGTTGTAGATGTAGGTGATGTGCTTGTGGTTGGGGATGTTGTTGTGGTTGGAGATGTTGTTGTTGTTGGAGTTGTTGTTGGCGTAGCTGTTGTAATTGTTGACGTAGGTGTGGTTGTTGTTGTAGTTGGTGTAGATGTTGTTGTTTCAGTTGAAGTAATGGGACAAGGCCCAGGCTCAATTTCACAACAGTAGACTCTAATCTCATAATCCAAGCACTGCTGCTGGAGACCCTGGTTTTGGTTCAAACAAATCAGTCCATCTTTAGCATTACAAGTCACCACTTGACCCAGTTGTGAAAGTGGAAGTCCTGGGTAGAGTTTTGCTCTGCATTCCACTTTACTTGGTGCGCTACAGATGCTAGGATAAGTCTCCGTTATTCGTTTTATTGGTACTATTTCGCCACCATTAGCACCTGTTGTTGGAGGGCCAAAGTCCATCCACGCTGACCACTGGCAACGCTTACAGCTTGTTGTGGTCGAAATTGTGGTTTTTGTTGTAGATGTAGGTGATGAGCTTGTGGTTGTGGATGGTGTTGTGGTTGGGGATGATGTTGTGGTCGGGGATGTTGTTGTTGATGTAGGTGTGCTTGTTGTTGGAGTTGTTGTAATTGTTGTCGTAGGTGTGGTTGTTGTTGTAGTTGGTGTAGATGTTGTTGTTTCAGTTGAAGTAATGGGACAAGGCCCAGGCTCAATTTCACAACAGTAGACTCTAATCTCGTAATCCAAGCACTGCTGCTGGAGACCCTGGTTTTGGTTCAAACAAATCAGTCCATCTTTAGCATTACAAGTCACCACTTGACCCAGTTGTGAAAGTGGAAGTCCTGGGTAGAGTTTTGCTCTGCATTCCACTTTACTTGGTGCGCTACAGATGCTGGGATAAGTCTCTGTTATTCGTTTTATTGGTACAATTTCGCCACCATTAGCTCCTGTTGTTGGAGGGCCAAAGTCCATCCATACTGACCACTGGCAACGCTTACAGCTTGTTGTGGTCGAAATTGTGGTTTTTGTTGTAGATGTAGGTGATGTGCTTGTGGTTGGGGATGTTGTTGTGGTTGGGGATGTTGTTGTTGTTGGAGTTGTTGGTGTAGCTGTTGTAATTGTTGACGTAGGTGTGGTTGTTGTTGTAGTTGGTGTAGATGTTGTTGTTTCAGTTGAAGTAATGGGACAAGGCCCAGGCTCAATTTCACAACAGTAAACTCTAATCTCATAATCCAAGCACTGCTGCTGGAGACCCTGGTCTTGGTTCAAACAAATCAGTCCATCTTTAGCATTACAAGTCAGTACTTGACCCAGTTGTGAAAGTGGAAGTCCTGGGTAGAGTTTTGCTCTGCATTCCACTTTACTTGGTGCGCTACAGATGCTTGGATAAGTCTCGGTTATTCTTTTTATGGGTACAATCTCGCCACCATTAGCACCTGTTGTTGGAGGGCCAAAGTCCATCCACGCTGACCACTGGCAACGCTTACAGCTTGTTGTGGTCGAAATTGTGGTTTTTGTTGCAGATGTAGGTGATGAGCTTGTGGTTGTGGATGGTGTTGTGGTCGGGGATGTTGTTGTTGTTGGAGTTGTTGTAATTGTTGTCGTAGGTGTGCTTGTTGTTGGAGTTGTTGTAATTGTTGACGTAGGTGTGGTTGTTGTTGTAGTTGGTGAAGATGTTGTTTCAGTTGAAGTAATGGGACAAGGCCCAGGCTCAACTTCACAACAGTAAACTCTAATCTCGTAATCTAAGCACTGCTGCTGGAGACCCTGGTTTTGGTTCAAACAAATCAGTCCATCTTTAGCATTACAAGTCACCACTTGACCCAGTTGTGAAAGTGGAAGTCCTGGGTAGAGTTTTGCTCTGCATTCCACTTTACTTGGTGCACTACAGATGCTGGGATAAGTCTCCGTTATTCGTTTTATTGGTACAATTTCGCCACCATTAGCACCAGTTGTTGGAGGGCCAAAGTCCATCCATGCTGACCAATGGCAACGCTTACAGCTTGTTGTGGTCGAAATTGTGGTTTTTGTTGTAGATGTAGGTGATGATGTTGTGGTTGGGGATGTTGTTGTGGTCGGGGATGTTGTTGTTGGAGTTGTTGTTGGAGTTGTTGTAATTGTTGTCGTAGGTGTGCTTGTTGTTGGAGTTGTTGTAATTGTTGTCGTAGGTGTGGTTGTTGTTGTAGTTGGTGTAGATGTTGTTGTTTCAGTTGAAGTAATGGGACAAGGCCCAGGCTCAATTTTACAACAGTAGACTCTAATCTCATAATCTAAGCACTGCTGCTGGAGATCCTGGTTTTGGTTCAAACAAATCAGTCCATCTTTAGCATTACAAGTCACCGCTTGACCCAGTTGTGAAAGTGGAAGTCCTGGGTAGAGTTTTGCTCTGCATTCCACTTTACTTGGTGCGCTACAGATGCTAGGATAAGTCTCAGTTATTCTTTTTATTGGTACAATCTCGCCACCATTAGCACCTGTTGTTGGAGGGCCAAAGTCCATCCACGCTGACCACTGGCAACTTTTACAGCTTGTTGTGGTCGAAATTGTGGTTTTTGTTGTAGATGTAGGTGATGAGCTTGTGGTTGTGGATGTTGTTGTGGTTGGGGATGATGTTGTGGTCGGGGATGTTGTTGTTGTTGGAGTTGTTGTTGATGTAGGTGTGCTTGTTGTTGGAGTTGTTGTAATTGTTGTTGTAGGTGTGGTTGTTGTTGTAGTTGGTGAAGATGTTGTTTCAGTTGAAGTAATGGGACAAGGCCCAGGCTCAACTTCACAACAGTAAACTCTAATCTCGTAATCTAAGCACTGCTGCTGGAGACCCTGGTTTTGGTTCAAACAAATCAGTCCATCTTTAGCATTACAAGTCACCACTTGACCCAGTTGTGAAAGTGGAAGTCCTGGGTAGAGTTTTGCTCTGCATTCCACTTTACTTGGTGCACTACAGATGCTAGGATAAGTCTCCGTTATTCGTTTTATTGGTACAATTTCGCCACCATTAGCACCTGTTGTTGGAGGGCCAAAGTCCATCCATGCTGACCAATGGCAACGCTTACAGCTTGTTGTGGTCGAAATTGTGGTTTTTGTTGTAGATGTAGGTGATGAGCTTGTGGTTGTGGATGGTGTTGTGGTTGGGGATGATGTTGTGGTCGGAGATGTTGTTGTTGTTGGAGTTGTCGTTGATGTAGGTGTGCTTGTTGTTGGAGTTGTTGTAATTGTTGTCGTAGGTGTGCTTGTTGTTGTAGTTGGTGTAGATGTTGTTGTTTCAGTTGAAGTAATGGGACAAGGCCCAGGCTCAACTTCACAACAGTAAACTCTAATCTCGTAATCTAAGCACTGCTGCTGGAGACCCTGGTTTTGGTTCAAACAAATCAGTCCATCTTTAGCATTACAAGTCACTACTTGACCCAGTTGTGAAAGTGGAAGTCCTGGGTAGAGTTTTGCTCTGCATTCCACTTTACTTGGTGCACTACAGATGCTGGGATAAGTCTCCGTTATTCGTTTTATTGGTACAATTTCGCCACCATTAGCACCTGTTGTTGGAGGGCCAAAGTCCATCCATGCTGACCAATGGCAACGCTTACAGCTTGTTGTGGTCGAAATTGTGGTTTTTGTTGTAGATGTAGGTGATGATGTTGTGGTCGGGGATGTTGTTGTGGTCGGGGATGTTGTTGTTGGAGTTGTTGTTGGAGTTGTTGTAATTGTTGTCATAGGTGTGCTTGTTGTTGGAGTTGTTGTAATTGTTGTCGTAGGTGTGGTTGTTGTTGTAGTTGGTGTAGATGTTGTTGTTTCAGTTGAAGTAATGGGACAAGGCCCAGGCTCAATTTTACAACAGTAGACTCTAATCTCATAATCTAAGCACTGCTGCTGGAGATCCTGGTTTTGGTTCAAACAAATCAGTCCATCTTTAGCATTACAAGTCACCGCTTGACCCAGTTGTGAAAGTGGAAGTCCTGGGTAGAGTTTTGCTCTGCATTCCACTTTACTTGGTGCGCTACAGATGCTAGGATAAGTCTCAGTTATTCTTTTTATTGGTACAATCTCGCCACCATTAGCACCTGTTGTTGGAGGGCCAAAGTCCATCCACGCTGACCACTGGCAACTTTTACAGCTTGTTGTGGTCGAAATTGTGGTTTTTGTTGTAGATGTAGGTGATGAGCTTGTGGTTGTGGATGGTGTTGTGGTTGGGGATGATGTTGTGGTCGGGGATGTTGTTGTTGTTGGAGTTGTTGTTGATGTAGGTGTGCTTGTTGTTGGAGTTGTTGTAATTGTTGTTGTAGGTGTGGTTGTTGTTGTAGTTGGTGAAGATGTTGTTTCAGTTGAAGTAATGGGACAAGGCCCAGGCTCAACTTCACAACAGTAAACTCTAATCTCGTAATCTAAGCACTGCTGCTGGAGACCCTGGTTTTGGTTCAAACAAATCAGTCCATCTTTAGCATTACAAGTCACCACTTGACCCAGTTGTGAAAGTGGAAGTCCTGGGTAGAGTTTTGCTCTGCATTCCACTTTACTTGGTGCACTACAGATGCTGGGATAAGTCTCCGTTATTCGTTTTATTGGTACAATTTCGCCACCATTAGCACCTGTTGTTGGAGGGCCAAAGTCCATCCATGCTGACCAATGGCAACGCTTACAGCTTGTTGTGGTCGAAATTGTGGTTTTTGTTGTAGATGTAGGTGATGATGTTGTGGTTGGGGATGTTGTTGTGGTCGGGGATGTTGTTGTTGGAGTTGTTGTTGGAGTTGTTGTAATTGTTGTCGTAGGTGTGCTTGTTGTTGGAGTTGGTGTAGATGTTGTTGTTTCAGTTGAAGTAATGGGACAAGGCCCAGGCTCAATTTCACAACAGTAGACTCTAATCTCATAATCTAAGCACTGCTGCTGGAGATCCTGGTTTTGGTTCAAACAAATCAGTCCATCTTTAGCATTACAAGTCACCACTTGACCCAGTTGTGAAAGTGGAAGTCCTGGGTAGAGTTTTGCTCTGCATTCCACTTTACTTGGTGCGCTACAGATGCTGGGATAAGTCTCTGTTATTCGTTTTATTGGTACAATTTCGCCACCATTAGCTCCTGTTGTTGGAGGGCCAAAGTCCATCCATGCTGACCACTGGCAACTTTTACAGCTTGTTGTGGTCGAAATTGTGGTTTTTGTTGTAGATGTAGGTGATGAGCTTGTGGTTGTGGATGGTGTTGTGGTTGGGGATGATGTTGTGGTCGGAGATGTTGTTGTTGTTGGAGTTGTCGTTGATGTAGGTGTGCTTGTTGTTGGAGTTGTTGTAATTGTTGTTGTAGGTGTGGTAGTTCTTGTAGTTGGTGAAGATGTTGTTTCAGTTGAAGTAATGGGACAAGGCCCAGGCTCAACTTCACAACAGTAAACTCTAATCTCGTAATCTAAGCACTGCTGCTGGAGACCCTGGTTTTGGTTCAAACAAATCAGTCCATCTTTAGCATTACAAGTCACTACTTGACCCAGTTGTGAAAGTGGAAGTCCTGGGTAGAGTTTTGCTCTGCATTCCACTTTACTTGGTGCACTACAGATGCTGGGATAAGTCTCCGTTATTCGTTTTATTGGTACAATTTCGCCACCATTAGCACCTGTTGTTGGAGGGCCAAAGTCCATCCATGCTGACCAATGGCAACGCTTACAGCTTGTTGTGGTCGAAATTGTGGTTTTTGTTGTAGATGTAGGTGATGATGTTGTGGTTGGGGATGTTGTTGTGGTCGGGGATGTTGTTGTTGGAGTTGTTGTTGGAGTTGTTGTAATTGTTGTCGTAGGTGTGCTTGTTGTTGGAGTTGTTGTAATTGTTGTCGTAGGTGTGGTTGTTGTTGGAGTTGGTGTAGATGTTGTTGTTTCAGTTGAAGTAATGGGACAAGGCCCAGGCTCAATTTTACAACAGTAGACTCTAATCTCATAATCTAAGCACTGCTGCTGGAGATCCTGGTTTTGGTTCAAACAAATCAGTCCATCTTTAGCATTACAAGTCACCGCTTGACCCAGTTGTGAAAGTGGAAGTCCTGGGTAGAGTTTTGCTCTGCATTCCACTTTACTTGGTGCGCTACAGATGCTAGGATAAGTCTCAGTTATTCTTTTTATTGGTACAATCTCGCCACCATTAGCACCTGTTGTTGGAGGGCCAAAGTCCATCCACGCTGACCACTGGCAACTTTTACAGCTTGTTGTGGTCGAAATTGTGGTTTTTGTTGTAGATGTAGGTGATGAGCTTGTGGTTGTGGATGTTGTTGTGGTTGGGGATGATGTTGTGGTCGGGGATGTTGTTGTTGTTGGAGTTGTTGTTGATGTAGGTGTGCTTGTTGTTGGAGTTGTTGTAATTGTTGTTGTAGGTGTGGTTGTTGTTGTAGTTGGTGAAGATGTTGTTTCAGTTGAAGTAATGGGACAAGGCCCAGGCTCAACTTCACAACAGTAAACTCTAATCTCGTAATCTAAGCACTGCTGCTGGAGACCCTGGTTTTGGTTCAAACAAATCAGTCCATCTTTAGCATTACAAGTCACCACTTGACCCAGTTGTGAAAGTGGAAGTCCTGGGTAGAGTTTTGCTCTGCATTCCACTTTACTTGGTGCACTACAGATGCTGGGATAAGTCTCCGTTATTCGTTTTATTGGTACAATTTCGCCACCATTAGCACCTGTTGTTGGAGGGCCAAAGTCCATCCATGCTGACCAATGGCAACGCTTACAGCTTGTTGTGGTCGAAATTGTGGTTTTTGTTGTAGATGTAGGTGATGATGTTGTGGTTGGGGATGTTGTTGTGGTCGGGGATGTTGTTGTTGGAGTTGTTGTTGGAGTTGTTGTAATTGTTGTCGTAGGTGTGCTTGTTGTTGGAGTTGGTGTAGATGTTGTTGTTTCAGTTGAAGTAATGGGACAAGGCCCAGGCTCAATTTCACAACAGTAGACTCTAATCTCATAATCTAAGCACTGCTGCTGGAGATCCTGGTTTTGGTTCAAACAAATCAGTCCATCTTTAGCATTACAAGTCACCACTTGACCCAGTTGTGAAAGTGGAAGTCCTGGGTAGAGTTTTGCTCTGCATTCCACTTTACTTGGTGCGCTACAGATGCTGGGATAAGTCTCTGTTATTCGTTTTATTGGTACAATTTCGCCACCATTAGCTCCTGTTGTTGGAGGGCCAAAGTCCATCCATGCTGACCACTGGCAACTTTTACAGCTTGTTGTGGTCGAAATTGTGGTTTTTGTTGTAGATGTAGGTGATGAGCTTGTGGTTGTGGATGGTGTTGTGGTTGGGGATGATGTTGTGGTCGGAGATGTTGTTGTTGTTGGAGTTGTCGTTGATGTAGGTGTGCTTGTTGTTGGAGTTGTTGTAATTGTTGTTGTAGGTGTGGTAGTTGTTGTAGTTGGTGAAGATGTTGTTTCAGTTGAAGTAATGGGACAAGGCCCAGGCTCAACTTCACAACAGTAAACTCTAATCTCGTAATCTAAGCACTGCTGCTGGAGACCCTGGTTTTGGTTCAAACAAATCAGTCCATCTTTAGCATTACAAGTCACTACTTGACCCAGTTGTGAAAGTGGAAGTCCTGGGTAGAGTTTTGCTCTGCATTCCACTTTACTTGGTGCGCTACAGATGCTGGGATAAGTCTCCGTTATTCGTTTTATTGGTACAATTTCGCCACCATTAGCACCTGTTGTTGGAGGGCCAAAGTCCATCCATGCTGACCAATGGCAACGCTTACAGCTTGTTGTGGTCGAAATTGTGGTTTTTGTTGTAGATGTAGGTGATGATGTTGTGGTTGGGGATGTTGTTGTGGTCGGGGATGTTGTTGTTGGAGTTGTTGTTGGAGTTGTTGTAATTGTTGTCGTAGGTGTGCTTGTTGTTGGAGTTGGTGTAATTGTTGTCGTAGGTGTGGTTGTTGTTGTAGTTGGTGTAGATGTTGTTGTTTCAGTTGAAGTAATGGGACAAGGCCCAGGCTCAATTTTACAACAGTAGACTCTAATCTCATAATCTAAGCACTGCTGCTGGAGATCCTGGTTTTGGTTCAAACAAATCAGTCCATCTTTAGCATTACAAGTCACCGCTTGACCCAGTTGTGAAAGTGGAAGTCCTGGGTAGAGTTTTGCTCTGCATTCCACTTTACTTGGTGCGCTACAGATGCTAGGATAAGTCTCTGTTATTCTTTTTATTGGTACAATCTCGCCACCATTAGCACCTGTTGTTGGAGGGCCAAAGTCCATCCACGCTGACCACTGGCAACTTTTACAGCTTGTTGTGGTCGAAATTGTGGTTTTTGTTGTAGATGTAGGTGATGAGCTTGTGGTTGTGGATGGTGTTGTGGTTGGGGATGATGTTGTGGTCGGGGATGTTGTTGTTGTTGGAGTTGTTGTTGATGTAGGTGTGCTTGTTGTTGGAGTTGTTGTAATTGTTGTTGTAGGTGTGGTTGTTGTTGTAGTTGGTGAAGATGTTGTTGTTTCAGTTGAAGTAATGGGACAAGGCCCAGGCTCAATTTCACAACAGTAAACTCTAATCTCATAATCCAAGCACTGCTGCTGGAGACCCTGGTTTTGGTTCAAACAAATCAGTCCATCTTTAGCATTACAAGTCACCACTTGACCCAGTTGTGAAAGTGGAAGTCCTGGGTAGAGTTTTGCTCTGCATTCCACTTTACTTGGTGCACTACAGATGCTGGGATAAGTCTCTGTTATTCGTTTTATTGGTACAATTTCGCCCCCATTAGCACCTGTTGTTGGAGGGCCAAAGTCCATCCATGCTGACCAATGGCAACGCTTACAGCTTGTTGTGGTCGAAATTGTGGTTTTTGTTGTAGATGTAGGTGATGATGTTGTGGTTGGGGATGTTGTTGTGGTCGGGGATGTTGTTGTTGGAGTTGTTGTTGGAGTTGTTGTAATTGTTGTCGTAGGTGTGCTTGTTGTTGGAGTTGGTGTAGATGTTGTTGTTTCAGTTGAAGTAATGGGACAAGGCCCAGGCTCAATTTCACAACAGTAGACTCTAATCTCATAATCTAAGCACTGCTGCTGGAGATCCTGGTTTTGTTTCAAACAAATCAGTCCATCTTTAGCATTACAAGTCACCACTTGACCCAGTTGTGAAAGTGGAAGTCCTGGGTAGAGTTTTGCTCTGCATTCCACTTTACTTGGTGCGCTACAGATGCTGGGATAAGTCTCTGTTATTCGTTTTATTGGTACAATTTCGCCACCATTAGCTCCTGTTGTTGGAGGGCCAAAGTCCATCCATGCTGACCACTGGCAACTTTTACAGCTTGTTGTGGTCGAAATTGTGGTTTTTGTTGTAGATGTAGGTGATGATGTTGTGGTTGGGGATGTTGTTGTGGTCGGGGATGTTGTTGTTGGAGTTGTTGTTGGAGTTGTTGTAATTGTTGTCGTAGGTGTGCTTGTTGTTGGAGTTGGTGTAATTGTTGTCGTAGGTGTGGTTGTTGTTGTAGTTGGCGTAGATGTTGTTGTTTCAGTTGAAGTAATGGGACAAGGCCCAGGCTCAATTTTACAACAGTAGACTCTAATCTCATAATCTAAGCACTGCTGCTGGAGATCCTGGTTTTGGTTCAAACAAATCAGTCCATCTTTAGCATTACAAGTCACCGCTTGACCCAGTTGTGAAAGTGGAAGTCCTGGGTAGAGTTTTGCTCTGCATTCCACTTTACTTGGTGCGCTACAGATGCTAGGATAAGTCTCAGTTATTCTTTTTATTGGTACAATCTCGCCACCATTAGCACCTGTTGTTGGAGGGCCAAAGTCCATCCACGCTGACCACTGGCAACTTTTACAGCTTGTTGTGGTCGAAATTGTGGTTTTTGTTGTAGATGTAGGTGATGAGCTTGTGGTTGTGGATGGTGTTGTGGTTGGGGATGATGTTGTGGTCGGGGATGTTGTTGTTGTTGGAGTTGTTGTTGATGTAGGTGTGCTTGTTGTTGGAGTTGTTGTAATTGTTGTTGTAGGTGTGGTTGTTGTTGTAGTTGGTGAAGATGTTGTTTCAGTTGAAGTAATGGGACAAGGCCCAGGCTCAACTTCACAACAGTAAACTCTAATCTCGTAATCTAAGCACTGCTGCTGGAGACCCTGGTTTTGGTTCAAACAAATCAGTCCATCTTTAGCATTACAAGTCACCACTTGACCCAGTTGTGAAAGTGGAAGTCCTGGGTAGAGTTTTGCTCTGCATTCCACTTTACTTGGTGCACTACAGATGCTAGGATAAGTCTCTGTTATTCGTTTTATTGGTACAATTTCGCCACCATTAGCACCTGTTGTTGGAGGGCCAAAGTCCATCCATGCTGACCAATGGCAACGCTTACAGCTTGTTGTGGTCGAAATTGTGGTTTTTGTTGTAGATGTAGGTGATGATGTTGTGGTTGGGGATGTTGTTGTGGTCGGGGATGTTGTTGTTGGAGTTGTTGTTGGAGTTGTTGTAATTGTTGTCGTAGGTGTGCTTGTTGTTGGAGTTGGTGTAGATGTTGTTGTTTCAGTTGAAGTAATGGGACAAGGCCCAGGCTCAATTTCACAACAGTAGACTCTAATCTCATAATCTAAGCACTGCTGCTGGAGATCCTGGTTTTGGTTCAAACAAATCAGTCCATCTTTAGCATTACAAGTCACCACTTGACCCAGTTGTGAAAGTGGAAGTCCTGGGTAGAGTTTTGCTCTGCATTCCACTTTACTTGGTGCGCTACAGATGCTGGGATAAGTCTCTGTTATTCGTTTTATTGGTACAATTTCGCCACCATTAGCTCCTGTTGTGGGAGGGCCAAAGTCCATCCATGCTGACCACTGGCAACTTTTACAGCTTGTTGTGGTCGAAATTGTGGTTTTTGTTGTAGATGTAGGTGATGAGCTTGTGGTTGTGGATGGTGTTGTGGTTGGGGATGATGTTGTGGTCGGGGATGTTGTTGTTGTTGGAGTTGTCGTTGATGTAGGTGTGCTTGTTGTTGGAGTTGTTGTAATTGTTGTTGTAGGTGTGGTAGTTGTTGTAGTTGGTGAAGATGTTGTTGTTTCTGTTGAAGTAATGGGACAAGGCCCAGGCTGAACTTCACAACAGTAAACTCTAATCTCATAATCTAAGCACTGCTGCTGGAGATCCTGGTTTTGGTTCAAACAAATCAGTCCATCTTTAGCATTACAAGTCACCACTTGACCCAGTTGTGAAAGTGGAAGTCCTGGGTAGAGTTTTGCTCTGCATTCCACTTTACTTGGTGCACTACAGATGCTGGGATAAGTCTCGGTTATTCTTTTTATTGGTACAATCTCGCCACCATTAGCTCCTGTTGTTGGAGGGCCAAAGTCCATCCACGCTGACCACTGGCAACTTTTACAGCTTGTTGTGGTCGAAATTGTGGTTTTTGTTGTAGATGTAGGTGATGAGCTTGTGGTTGTGGATGGTGTTGTGGTTGTGGATGATGTTGTGGTCGGGGATGTTGTGGTCGGGGATGTTGTTGTTGTTGGAGTTGTTGATGTAGGTGTGCTTGTTGTTGGAGTTGTTGTAATTGTTGTTGTAGGTGTGGTTGTTGTTGTAGTTGGTGAAGATGTTGTTGTTTCAGTTGAAGTAATGGGACAAGGCCCAGGCTCAACTTCACAACAGTAAACTCTAATCTCGTAATCTAAGCACTGCTGCTGGAGATCCTGGTTTTGGTTCAAACAAATCAGTCCATCTTTAGCATTACAAGTCACCACTTGACCCAGTTGTGAAAGTGGAAGTCCTGGGTAGAGTTTTGCTCTGCATTCCACTTTACTTGGTGCACTACAGATGCTGGGATAAGTCTCCGTTATTCGTTTTATTGGTACAATTTCGCCACCATTAGCTCCTGTTGTTGGAGGGCCAAAGTCCATCCATGCTGACCAATGGCAACGCTTACAGCTTGTTGTGGTCGAAATTGTGGTTTTTGTTGTAGATGTAGGTGATGAGCTTGTGGTTGTGGATGGTGTTGTGGTTGGGGATGATGTTGTGGTCGGGGATGTTGTTGTTGTTGGAGTTGTTGTTGATGTAGGTGTGCTTGTTGTTGGAGTTGTTGTAATTGTTGTAGGTGTGGTTGTTGTTGTAGTTGGTGAAGATGTTGTTTCAGTTGAAGTAATGGGACAAGGCCCAGGCTCAACTTCACAACAGTAAACTCTAATCTCGTAATCTAAGCACTGCTGCTGGAGACCCTGGTTTTGGTTCAAACAAATCAGTCCATCTTTAGCATTACAAGTCACCACTTGACCCAGTTGTGAAAGTGGAAGTCCTGGGTAGAGTTTTGCTCTGCATTCCACTTTACTTGGTGCACTACAGATGCTAGGATAAGTCTCTGTTATTCGTTTTATTGGTACAATTTCGCCACCATTAGCACCTGTTGTTGGAGGGCCAAAGTCCATCCATGCTGACCAATGGCAACGCTTACAGCTTGTTGTGGTCGAAATTGTGGTTTTTGTTGTAGATGTAGGTGATGATGTTGTGGTTGGGGATGTTGTTGTGGTCGGGGATGTTGTTGTTGGAGTTGTTGTTGGAGTTGTTGTAATTGTTGTCGTAGGTGTGCTTGTTGTTGGAGTTGGTGTAGATGTTGTTGTTTCAGTTGAAGTAATGGGACAAGGCCCAGGCTCAATTTCACAACAGTAGACTCTAATCTCATAATCTAAGCACTGCTGCTGGAGATCCTGGTTTTGGTTCAAACAAATCAGTCCATCTTTAGCATTACAAGTCACCACTTGACCCAGTTGTGAAAGTGGAAGTCCTGGGTAGAGTTTTGCTCTGCATTCCACTTTACTTGGTGCGCTACAGATGCTGGGATAAGTCTCTGTTATTCGTTTTATTGGTACAATTTCGCCACCATTAGCTCCTGTTGTGGGAGGGCCAAAGTCCATCCATGCTGACCACTGGCAACTTTTACAGCTTGTTGTGGTCGAAATTGTGGTTTTTGTTGTAGATGTAGGTGATGAGCTTGTGGTTGTGGATGGTGTTGTGGTTGGGGATGATGTTGTGGTCGGGGATGTTGTTGTTGTTGGAGTTGTCGTTGATGTAGGTGTGCTTGTTGTTGGAGTTGTTGTAATTGTTGTTGTAGGTGTGGTAGTTGTTGTAGTTGGTGAAGATGTTGTTGTTTCTGTTGAAGTAATGGGACAAGGCCCAGGCTGAACTTCACAACAGTAAACTCTAATCTCATAATCTAAGCACTGCTGCTGGAGATCCTGGTTTTGGTTCAAACAAATCAGTCCATCTTTAGCATTACAAGTCACCACTTGACCCAGTTGTGAAAGTGGAAGTCCTGGGTAGAGTTTTGCTCTGCATTCCACTTTACTTGGTGCACTACAGATGCTAGGATAAGTCTCGGTTATTCTTTTTATTGGTACAATCTCGCCACCATTAGCTCCTGTTGTTGGAGGGCCAAAGTCCATCCACGCTGACCACTGGCAACTTTTACAGCTTGTTGTGGTCGAAATTGTGGTTTTTGTTGTAGATGTAGGTGATGAGCTTGTGGTTGTGGATGGTGTTGTGGTTGTGGATGATGTTGTGGTCGGGGATGTTGTGGTCGGGGATGTTGTTGTTGTTGGAGTTGTTGATGTAGGTGTGCTTGTTGTTGGAGTTGTTGTAATTGTTGTTGTAGGTGTGGTTGTTGTTGTAGTTGGTGAAGATGTTGTTGTTTCAGTTGAAGTAATGGGACAAGGCCCAGGCTCAACTTCACAACAGTAAACTCTAATCTCGTAATCTAAGCACTGCTGCTGGAGATCCTGGTTTTGGTTCAAACAAATCAGTCCATCTTTAGCATTACAAGTCACCACTTGACCCAGTTGTGAAAGTGGAAGTCCTGGGTAGAGTTTTGCTCTGCATTCCACTTTACTTGGTGCACTACAGATGCTGGGATAAGTCTCCGTTATTCGTTTTATTGGTACAATTTCGCCACCATTAGCTCCTGTTGTTGGAGGGCCAAAGTCCATCCATGCTGACCAATGGCAACGCTTACAGCTTGTTGTGGTCGAAATTGTGGTTTTTGTTGTAGATGTAGGTGATGAGCTTGTGGTTGTGGATGGTGTTGTGGTTGGGGATGATGTTGTGGTTGGGGATGTTGTTGTTGTTGGAGTTGTTGTTGATGTAGGTGTGCTTGTTGTTGGAGTTGTTGTAATTGTTGTTGTAGGTGTGCTTGTTGTTGGAGTTGGTGAAGATGTTGTTGTTTCAGTTGAAGTAATGGGACAAGGCCCAGGCTCAATTTCACAACAGTAAACTCTAATCTCATAATCCAAGCACTGCTGCTGGAGACCCTGGTCTTGGTTCAAACAAATCAGTCCATCTTTAGCATTACAAGTCACCACTTGACCCAGTTGTGAAAGTGGAAGTCCTGGGTAGAGTTTTGCTCTGCATTCCACTTTACTTGGTGCGCTACAGATGCTAGGATAAGTCTCTGTTATTCTTTTTATTGGTACAATCTCGCCACCATTAGCACCTGTTGTTGGAGGGCCAAAGTCCATCCACGCTGACCACTGGCAACTTTTACAGCTTGTTGTGGTCGAAATTGTGGTTTTTGTTGTAGATGTAGGTGATGAGCTTGTGGTTGTGGATGGTGTTGTGGTTGGGGATGATGTTGTGGTCGGGGATGTTGTGGTCGGGGATGTTGTTGTTGTTGGAGTTGTCGTTGATGTAGGTGTGCTTGTTGTTGGAGTTGTTGTAATTGTTGTCGTAGGTGTGCTTGTTGTTGTAGTTGGTGAAGATGTTGTTGTTTCAGTTGAAGTAATGGGACAAGGCCCAGGCTCAACTTCACAACAGTTAACTCTAATCTCGTAATCTAAGCACTGCTGCTGGAGATCCTGGTTTTGGTTCAAACAAATCAGTCCATCTTTAGCATTACAAGTCACTACTTGACCCAGTTGTGAAAGTGGAAGTCCTGGGTAGAGTTTTGCTCTGCATTCCACTTTACTTGGTGCGCTACAGATGCTGGGATAAGTCTCTGTTATTCTTTTTATTGGTACAATCTCGCCACCATTAGCACCTGTTGTTGGAGGGCCAAAGTCCATCCATGCTGACCAATGGCAACGCTTACAGCTTGTTGTGGTCGGAACTGTGGTTTTTCTTGTTGTTGTTCGACTTGTTGGACTTGTTGGCGTTGTTGTCGTAGGTGTGGTTGTTAGAGTTGATGGTGTTTTTTTGGTCTTCGGAGATGTAGTTGTGGTTGGAGATGTTGCTGTTTTTGTAGGTATTGTTGTTTTTAGTCTGGTTGTTTTTGGTGTAGTGGTTGTGGTTTGTGTTGTGGTTGAACATTCAACGCTCTTGCAACATTTTGCTTTTATCTCATAGTCAAGACAAATCAGAGTTTGATATTTGTTCTCACAAATTAATCCTTGGTCATTGCATGTGACATTTTGGTGTAACTCAGATAATGGAACTCCTGGGTAGCGCGCTGCTTGACATATGACTTCAACTGGTTTTTCACATACTTTGTAGCGTCCAGACTTGATAATATTTTTAATAGTGTCATTGTCGCCTCCATTTGGTCCATATTCGGGATAATCAACATTCATCCATGGAGTCCAGGAACAGACCTCACACTGATGTGGAGTTGTCTTTGTTGTGGTAGTTACCGTTGGTGAAGTTGTTGGTGGCTTTGTTGTACAGTTCTTGTTGTCACAGCAATAAACTCGTATTTGGTAGTTCAAGCATAGTGGAAATGTGCCTGACTGATCTTTGTTCTTGCATATTAAACCTTCTTTGACATTACATTCCACAACCTGCCCTACTTCGCTTATGCTTTTGTTTGGATACTTTTCAGCTCGGCACTCAATTTTGCTCGGTTCATTGCAGATTTTATAACCAGCTGCTCTAATACTATTGTAAGTTTCAGAGTCACCTCCATTGGGACCAGGGGTGGGGAATGTTGTATCAAACCATTGAGTCCATGCACATGATTGCTGGCATGGTCCAGAAGTAGTCGTCGGCTGTGGTGATGTTGGAGTACTAGAGCGCGTAGTTGACACTGAAAGAAAAGACAATCTCATAGAATTCGGACTGTACATCATTTTTGTGCACACATTCATATAAACCAGATTATTTATCACTTATACTGACTCAAGGCTCCAATGTGTTGTTTTGTCAAAAGTGTTTGTTATATTACTCAAAAAATCTCGCTTTCGAAGTTGTCTGAAATCTTGGTCTCCCAATCTTTTTGATAGTGAGTCCGCCATCCCCAAGCCAAACAGTTTTCAAGGAAATTTTTTTATCAAACTAAACATTTGATATTAGTACATGTTTTAATTACATTTAAAATCCTGAATCTGTTCACAGAATAAGAAAAAGGCGCTGTATCAACTTTGCATCAAACCTTTGTGTTGCACTGTTCCTTTAAATGATATTTTTTTAGGGGTCACACACATTTTAGTATGAGAGAGAACACAAAGAGATGCAAAATGCTGTTAAACTAGCAAACTATTCTTTTGCCAATATTATAGAAGGCAAAAATGTCTAAATGGACTGCAAATGGAATTAAACTTGGATCTTACTTTTCATGAACTTTCAGAGTGAATACAGCCTATGGTGCTGGACGTTCATAAACAAAATATTTAACATTATGTTTGTAGTTCCCAGGTAAAGGCCTCAAGTAGCAATATTTGAGACTGGAACTTAGACTAGGGTTCAAATCTATCTGCTTGAGATATGATAAATTATGGTAAACTAGTGTTCTAAACTGACTTTGCAAAGTTAATAAGCATCACCAATCTACTGTTTAAACATCCTTTGTGGTGAATATTGGTGTTGATCATTATACTTTACATTTCAAACTTAAAATGAAATTTCATCTAATAATTCTCTTGCAAACACTCATATCTTCTCAAAGTTAAGGTTTTATTTTAGAAAGACCGTGATAAATGATGGTCCATCAGCTATGATGGGGTCTCAGAAAGGGTTAGTGTAAACTAGGAGTTTGAAGGATATTACGCTATAAGTTTGAGTCAGTATCCACCTCAAAAGCCATCATCAGCAAACTCACAGTGGCTTTTGCTACACATTATCTTCCCACACTCAAGCAGAAATATACATATCGCAGCAAACATCGGAATTGTGCAGTCCTGGTGACAGAATGGGAGGTTTCTGTGTTTTGTTAGTGCTAAGCCAACGGTGGGTTCCCACACTTTTGATCACTAGGTTGCTCAGATTTAAAGAGAGCAAGGCAGTTTAAGTGGGACAGAATTTTGATAAAAGCTGTGAGGGTGGGACAAGTGACATCATCCTGGTGAATGCTGAAGGTAAAGTTTAAAACAACTAATTCTGACGAAGTACACATAGACGTTCAATAATTATTAATAGGGCTTACTTTATACTTGCACATTGTGCACTAACAAGACCAACCTTTACTTAATCTAAAGCAATCACCAATTTAGGTTTGCTGGGGCTTTAAGGATAGGAAGATGAAGAAAAGAAATGGCAGCATGGACTCAGAAGTGGCAACATTCTTGTTTAAATCTTGCACTGTCCCTTCCCGGTGTACAGTCAAGGTCTGTCCCAAATCCTGGAAGTGAGGACAGTGGATGACCAAGATGACAAAGAGAGAAACAGGAGGCCAACAGACTTATGTTGTGGATACTGCTGACCACAAAAGGAATAAGCATAACAGGCCCAGGGGGTGCCAATTCAGAGTGGTCAGGAAATCACCTAACCATTTGAATTTAGGGAAAGAAAAAGGACTTTAAGATTGCTTTTAATGTGTAGCAAATAATGAGCAGCAAGACATTGCAAACCAAGAAGTGTATATAGTGTATGTATGCACTCGAATTGTGGGTGGTAGGTGTTTTGGAGGCAGCAGGTAGTTAATAAGAGCATGAATGTGGGTTAAAACAAAAGCAATTCATGACATTTAAGCTCACTGAAAAAAATGCAGGGAACAGTTCTTCTCACTCAAAAAACAACTCTGAAATCCAGTTCCTTTGGTGGGGACTCAATAACATGGGAAAAATGTGTTTTCAGATCTGGCCTCCAAACACTGCCCTATATGATAACCATGCTGTCTTTCATGATTAACTTGTCTCCACATTCCTTTATAGTTGCTTTTTTGCTACATCTAACCAAGCAACAAGTAATTAACCTGCGATTTACTATTCATTTAAAATTGCCTCCATCTGCCAAAGACTATTTTAACTAGACTAGCATAGTGGTTCACAAATAGATTTGCTTAATTTTAGTAAAGATTCTCAAAACTAGAGATATATTAATTTGAAAACATTCAAGAATATAGTTGAAGGTAGGTATTTACATAGTTATGTGTTACAGTTATGTTGCTCTGTGCTAGCTAGTCTTGCTAACAACTAGTCACAGTATACACACTACTTCAAACTACACTATACCACTGGTCATTACATGTGACCATTAGATTTGGAATACACTAACAGTAAAAATAGTAATACATCAGTAAAAGTGGTGGACTTTGGCTTTCTAGTGTTCTAAACGTTCAGACAGTGCCTTTGCATGGTCAAAGTTTACTTTGTTTGGTCGGCATCTCTCCACATCTCCCTGTTAATTATCTGCATGTTACCTTCTATAAATGTAAGGTGAGCATCAGAAAGAAACATTATAAGACAAAGTCTGCTGTGGTCTGTACTGGTGAAAAGAAATTCTAATTTTGGCAAGTTGGACCAGCAAGAACCTTTACACATCGGGAAGAATGAGAAGGGTTGTAACATGGAGGTAGCTGTAGCACCACCAGTTTCAACAATCAGAAATGGGCTGCAGGGGTTATATAACTACTGTGCACACCCACCCCCCTCTTGAGCTGACAGGAGAAGTGAAGTTGAAGACTTTGTGTGAAATAGTGACATGCTTACGTTACAAAATCCCATTAAAACCCTCCTTTGTCTCTCTTACAAGAACTTGTAGGTATAATTGGCAGCACTAACCTGGTTGTGTTGTTGAGAAGTTAAAGGTAGTTGTTGGAGCGGTTGTTGTTGTTGGAGTTGTAGGGCAAGGATACATTTTCCTCTCAATTTTTCCATTCTCTCCACAGACAGCAGTCATGCAGTGGCCAAGCCCATCGGTGGTATTGTAGATAGTGCTTCCATATCGATATGTTTTTCCATCGTATGTGCAGGTACATGCTACAATTAGATGAAAAAGCTCACTTTCCTTCTTAACGAGTGGTTTATTATATCTTAAGAGATATTTGTAATGTAAGACATGAATAGTCTTTTCTTACCGTTGATATCTCTTGTGCAGTTGATTGTCATAGAATGGCAAGAACTGCAAAAAGAACAAACACTTAGTTTTAAATACATCACATTAATAAATAATGTCTTGAAGATATCAAGTGCGAGCATACCATGTCTGACAGTTTTCTGCGGTGGGAACCTTCTCTCCGTTGCTGTAATGCTTCCCTTGTTTATCGTAGCAGCCACAGCTTTCACTCTTCACACATTTCATTGTGTGTTCATCAAGGTATGGCTGATCAAGAGGACAGTTTGGATAACAGCCTAAAGAGGCAAATATTAGACGTGTGTCAAATATGGCTGTAACCTGTTAAATGTCCTTGGTATTTTCACTTTACAAGCCATTCATGCTCAGACTGTTTGCAGACAACATGGCAGCAAATACTTCATTTATCATGCGCTTATTAATTACATTAATAAATTTGTGAATGTAATTTCATCTGATTGTTACAACAATTATATATGCAGAAAAACATGGACACTCGAATATATCTTGCCAGAGAATACTCCAATTAATTGCTCAACTTTAATATTTAGATTTTTTTTTTTGAAGTGTCACTTTACAAAAATGTTGTTTTGATATTTACAGTGTAGATGTAATGTAATTCTCAGCCCAGCCACCAACATTTCTAACAAATCTCATTGTAATCAGTGACGCTGCAAACGTTTTGTATATTTTGTCCTGAAAGCAAATCAAATCTTATATACATTGTAGATAACAATAAATAATTAAATATAAATTAAATATAATTTTATAACATTCTTCCATGCTTAAGTGCTCATATTGCTTTTGTTTACCTGTTACTTGATTTTAAAATGATCTGTGTACCTTCTAGTGGTGGTATCTGACTGGAACACTTCCCAGAGGGGTTGCTGCAGGTCTTCATGCAGGAGGCACCACAGGGTTTATAGTGCCACTCACACTCACCAGCAGGGTTGTAGTAATCGCAGAACATTGCTGCAAGAAGAACACGAGTTTAATCTCAAGTGTTTAACAGCACCATTTTATTGTCCATGTTCCAGAAGTGTCATGCCCACTGAAGTCTATTGTTTTTAGAGATGCAATGAATCCTTATTTAGGTTCCTGTGCTAGTTTACAGAAAAAACGGCCACCTATTCTGAGTATCTACCATATTTGTTTCTCCTCATAAGTTTCTCCCAGAGTCTGGAAGCTCTCAGGAGCCCCTGCTCCCTTGTTGGCGTTTTCTGTATAGGACCATAGGTTCCTACTTGCTATCCATTTTGCGATTGAATTGTAAAGAAGTAGTTGGCAGCTAGTGCTTCTTATGTGGATTCTGAGGTATTTAACAGGTAAGAGTCAGCATCCCATTACTCTACGTGATAGAACTGGTCAAGTGATCTATCCATGCTTCACTCATAGATGCAAGTGACAAAAATCCTCACTGGTTGTCTTTAGTTAATCTAAATACTTCTGTCCAGTCATCGGCTGTTTTTTTCCTCTAAATTCAATATTGTACATTAAAAGTAAAATTTCGTCCTCTCTTCATTCTGCTATCTGCTGTGGACCAGAGGAGGATGGGCTCCTTTTTGAGTCCTGGTTCCTCTCAGGGTTTCTTCCTCTTGCTCTGAGGGAGTATTTTTTGTCACTGCTGCTTTCAGACCTAGATTTTCTGCAAAGCTGCTTTATGACAAGGCCTCTTGTAAAAAGTGCTAAATAAATAAACTTGACTTGACTATTGTTGCCAGTGTAGCATCTTGTCCAGCTTAGCAGCAGTTTCCGTAAAACCATGTGGAGCATGGATGAGCCAGTTATTTTGAACTTATCGAATCTTATCAACAATGTTTTAAGACAATAATTGTACATGGTATAGATATAAAACAATACCTCCTGAAAAACACTGGGTGCATGACGCCCCTGTATTTAACAACACTCAAGAGACTCACGGCAGACGCTAGGCGTTCTCCATGCAATGCAGGTTCCAACCGCATTACAGATTTCTGCGTATGCTGCAACAGCAGTGCACAAACACTCGCAATCTCCACCAGTATCACAAGCACATGCGTCCCACACACAAGCCTCAAAATAGGGAGTAGGATCCACCTTGACAAGAAGAAAAAGCCCAGTTAAGCATGGCGTGTATTATCTTAAAAAGAAAAGCAAAGTGAATTAACTGAAGCAAACCGAATGAACTAACTTCAGAAGGTTACCTGTGAATGACAGTCTTGGAAGACCTCACTGTTGATGATGCTGCACTGTTTCTGAGCCCAGGACTGCCTGTAGGGGTTAAAGGAACAGGGATTCAGGATAGCTTTGGCATTGGGGCAGGTGGAGGAATCCTTCCAGCTGTTTCCAAACTCCAAGGCATTGGTCACCACCCCTTGGTTTCTCAAGGTGAAGTCATTCTTTGCATTGCCGTCATAATTTCCGCAGAGGCCACAGACAGCACCCTGTTACAAGAGATCAAATAAAGTTCAGAAAACGTCCATTCACGGTATCTGGACACAGCAGAAGAGTCTGACTTTAATATGTGTAGACATGCTCACCTTGTATTCTGGACTCAGCTTGATAAATATGCTTGTCTTTCGATCCCACATAAGAATCATGCCATTATTGGCCTCAATCACCAAGTAGATTCCAATGAGCTGGATCTGGTAGGGAATTTCCTCTCCTTGATCCCTTTGCACTACTTGGTAGCTTCCATCTGTTAGTATGAGCTCATTTTTCTGAAAGAAAGAAGTTAGGTATTCTGTTAAGTACTTGCGTGCTAAACAATGATTTTACAACTCTGTATGTACAATTAATGTAAGCCAAGGCCTTACCCCGAGGAAGAGCTTAATAGCCTTGGAGCAGGTTGTGCCAGTGGTTCCACAAGGGATGTTTTCAGTGATGACTCTGAAGGTAGCACTGGCATTGCTGTGACCACAGTGATCCTAAAACAAGCACAGAAATATGTTTTACTTCATGAACAATTAACGTGCATTAACTAATTAATGCACAATTCTAACTGCTATACTCTGTACTTTACACAATACATATTCTGCTTGATCCTTTTTATTTATGAATTTGTTTTTATGTGAATGTATTAGGGCTGCATGATATGGGCAGAAAACGTGATGTTCGATAAAGCTGCTGGATATCTCGATGACGATATGAAAAGCGATGAATTCTTATTAAAATAGTGTGTGTCCTGCGACATGTGAACGAGTGCCATGAAGTGTTTCAGTCTAAAAACAGCCAGGTTTCCCTGAACAGCTTTGTGTGTCTGCAGTCAGGCCATTCATTTATTATCAATATAGGCCTACAAAAATGAATAAATATGTATTTAGTTCCCTAAAAGCACCATCATTTGATCCGTTCTGTTATTGCAGCCCTCAACCATGTGTTTATCATGATACGATAAAATTATGATTTAAGAATTAAGAAATAGATATCCATGTGACTGCACAACATTTCTACTTTATAACCAGTGACAAATTCTTTACATGTGCAAACACAGTCAGGCAGTGTTGACAAAAAAAAGAAAAACAAAAAAAAACATTGTTTTTATTGATATAAATGAAAACAAAGCATCTAGTGTTACTATAACCACTCAAGGCACTCGAGATTTTTCTCTTCACTTACTCTGACAAGGGTATATTCACAGTCTCCATCAAAGGTGTATCTTTTCCCATCAAATGTGATGTAATGTCCATCACCGTAAGCTGTGCAGGTTCCATAGCACGAGTTTGTGGTGCACTGCCATTTCTTGTCCTTACATGTGCTGCATTCAAATGAGACAAGAGATATGTAAATTAATAACTAGTTATAGATGGCAATTGTGCTTCAAGCATTATGCCTAACTGTTAACTGTTTAGCTCCTTAAGGGGGCGTTCAGATGATGCTTTTGTAAACATGGGGCTCGCATTAATTCGACAAGTAGGTTAAACACACAAAAAAGAAACGGTGAGGTGATTGATAAACATTTTGAAACATATATAATAATAAAAATTATTATTAAAAGAAAATGTGGACAATATTTCTATAACAGATCACACAAATAAATAAAGAAATTAAGAATACAGTTCATGATGTCCAAAAAGGGCCAAAACTAGATTTTCTTGGATGAGCAAATAGGAATCCTCAATATTGTCTGGTCAGCTGTGGATGACATGGCACTCTTTCAGCACAAAACTTCACAGTTTCTTCAACTTAAATATGTGGTTTTAAAACATCAAGCACCATGCGCAGGCTGGAGGAGTGCTTTTCAGTGTTGGTCTATAGACAACAATGAAAAAAAGCCACTTGAAAGAGTTTGAAAAGGCATCATCTGAACGTTCATGCAGGATCAGGAGGGCATCATCTGTTTCCGTTCAGAAAATGCAGAGCCAGTCTAAGTTAGCACAGCATATATATTTTCTGTGAATTTTCATGAAAGATCGCAGGTACAGTAAGCTGAACTACAAAGAGGTGCACATGATAATGACTAACTTGTTGTATTTTTACTATATCATTTGACACTGTTTGAAAGTACTAACTGACATTCACGTTAAACTGGCATTCTGGCCTAGATCTAGCATTTAAAATGTCCTTTGTCACGTTGTGTAATATTCTGTAGTGCAGTAGTGCATCTCTTAGCTCTAATCTCAGTTTGACACAGTTCACAGTTTTGTATCCTTTGTTTTTGTCTTTCAGTCTTCTGTCCCTACAATACCCAGCATGCAGTAGGCAAATACGTCATAAAATTGTGAACCCCCCAGCCTCTGACGTAGAAGCTAGAGGGGCTAGAACTCTGAGAACTTGGGCTGGAGTTCTGGGCAGCTTCTGCGTGTAGCTAAAAGGCTAGACCCCCCTCATAGCTGTGGTAGGACTGATGTAGGACTGAGGAACAGGGAGGAGATGGGGTGGTGGTGGAGATTGCGAATACTTCATCACGGGAATGGAAGCTGATCGTGTGAATTTATAGGGCATTAGATTGTAAGAAGGAGGGATTTCAGACATGTTCCTCCCAAACTTCAGTTATAACATAATTATATTTAATAACTGAGATTTTTTGGTTAGTTTTTATTTTTTTGACTGTTCGCGGTGATGTCCCTTCAGTTCAGAAATTAGCCAATGACTACATGTAGAACAAATGTCAACTGAGATATGTTTACCAGGTATTGCAGTCAACTTTGATGGATTCTCCGGGTTGGTGAAGGACACCGTTGTGGACACAAGGACACAGTTCCTCTTTAATGCAGCCTCCTTGCCCATCAGACACGAGGCCCGAGGGACACACACAGCCCGAGATACACTCTGTACTGATCTGTTGGGAAATAGTTTGTTTTCAGCATACATAATTCATACAAAAGTTCAATAAATGACATGTCAGGAGGTCATATTTCTTTTGTACAGCCACAGCAGAAACATCTTAATTTATGAAACGTTATCTTTACACAGGGAATAACTTACACAGGCCAGGTCCAGATTGTTGCAGCTCTTCTGGCACTCAGAGCCTGTAGATCCTGGGGCAGAGTTGGTGCAGTTGAAGAACACCATCGGTGAGGAGCAAGCTGAGGGCAAAAGGTAACACTTGTCTTAGTGACAATGCTGACATCCAAAACAATCAGAGCATGGTTTCAGTAAAGAGTCTTACAATTGCTCTGCTGTCTAAGTGGGTGATTTTACATGTAAAAGTAATTTTTTTTAAGAAAAAGAAACAATTTGGCAAAAAATCTAACTTGCACAATTTCTCCCTTCAAACCAAATGTATTCGAACAGCCAAGTCATGTTCAAAATTTAAAAGTTAACTAAAAAGTTGTTTAAAAGTTAAAAGTTTGCTTCTTTAGCTGCTTCTTTATTTTTGTTACCTCAACAATTAGCATGATGCTAACTTGATAATTTTGCCTCAAAGCTTGTGGAGTTCAGTATCTTTAATAGACTTGAATATGTGGCTTCTGACACTGTATGACACTGTTATGTATTAACATGGACTAAAGTACAGACAAAATTCAGCCTTTAAGGTGCTGCTGCTACTCTTTTAGCTATGTGCCATACTTTTGTCAACATAAGAAAGTCTATATATTTGTAGCTCCAGTTCTAAGATTAAAGAAGCAAACTTCAGACACCAAACATGTCTTGGCTGATCAACTACATTTGGGGTGGTTTGCTCCCTCTGTACTTTCCATTTCCCCACTTCTCTAGATTGCATACTACTCCCTCATAGTACTGAAACGTCTGTGCCAACTATATTTACTCATAAGTCTCTTCCTTTCCTGGACACATATGACGTATTTCCACTAAATTGGCTCACTAGCAGCGTCATGTGTCATACACTGTTTACACTATCCCACACTTGACCACACGCTAGACTCTTTGTCTAGTCTGATCCTGTCTATTGTGGTGCAGGTATTGTACTTACCCATGTGTTTGGGCATGTTATTTGTCTTTCTACATGGGTCTAAAATTATACTTGTAGCAGCGTCATGACATGCTAAATGTTTATTCCCCATCCCCCTTTTTTTCCATCAGAGGCTAACAGAAATTGCTCTGTTGTGCTTTACACTCATTTCATTTTACACATTTGAATTTAATTACAAATTTGATCAGGCCAAATTTAGTCAAACATAAGGGGGCACTCTAAGTAAGAAAATGCCCGATTAATCGATTAAACACAGGAAATACACCTTGACTCATATTTTTAAGAACACTAGAGGGCAGCGACTCTTCTATGTGCAGTATCTATCCCACTACAGTATGGAAGAGGAGCTTCTTTTACTAGTGTGGCTATATCACATCATAAACCAAACTAAATTGAATGTGAATGATCAGTATTAAACTGTGGGAGCACTCACATGGCTCGTCAGTGGAACGTCCGATGCAACTGAGCTGGCCGTTCTTGCAGGTGCTGAAACACAAGTTGATACATTCTTTAGGAAGAGTATCAATAGTTGGCTTTCTGTTGTCATAATGAGAAAAACTAAGGATTTCTTTTTGTAAAGACTCTAAATAAGGCCTACCACATGGCACCGTCCTTGGTGATGACTTCTCCAGGAGGAATCACTGATCCTTTGAAGTAGCAGGAACATTTAGCCGGTGGGACACATTTCCCGCTTTCATCAAGATACGTTCCAGCTGCGCAGACGCATCCATCCACAGGCTCAAAGGTAACAGCACATGTAAAGTCTGGGTCACTGTGGCAGCGGCACGACTGGTTGTTGTTCTGAACGTCATAGGAGTAGACCATGGTGCTGGGGCAGGTGGTATAATTCTCTGTGAACAAAAATTACCCAGTTTAGATAAAAACACATTTCATGTGTAACGTATCAGTGAATTAAGCAATAGAACACTCAAAATTGTGTGTGTTATTGTGGATAACATGACTCATCGGTACAGTAGTGCTCCATTAGTGTTCTGTTAATTGTATTGCTTTTATACAACAAGTAAAGAGAAAAGTAAAGCATCCGTGAATATCATTTCAAACCTATAGTTTAATCTTCGGAATTTCTCCTGCCAAAAAAGTAGTTCTAGCAGTGATCATTGTTGTCAACTGATGTTCAGTTTAATGATAAGGTGAAAAGAAAGTGTTGTTATTAGATGTGATTAGAACTAAGAATGAAATGTTCAGAGAACAGTTATGAAGCATCAATGACAGATAAATGAAAAATAATAAATGAAAAGTGTACATGTATGCTTACATGCTCTACCATAGCTGTTAGAGCAGAAATTGTTCCTTGCATTACAATATTATTTTGTTAATATTAGAACTACTTGACCTGGCTAAACCTTAGGCACTATTTGAGTATTATTTATTTGAACCAGGTAACATTATATTATATTGGGTTATATTATGTACTATATTAAGTACTAGAAATGAATCACTTACTGCAGGCTTCATTTCTCCAGCCATTGAGAAGGATCCCTTTGGCAGCACAAGCGTGCACATAAGAAGAAAGTGCTGCACACATGCAGCTCTCACTGTTCTCACAATTGCATGAGTCATACATGCAGTTCTGTTGAATGACAACCAAAAGAAAAAGGTTATACAGTTATGGTTAGAATTAGAGCCCAACCGATATGTCAGTTTATTTTATTGGCCAATATTTCATGACAATAGTTAACAGGTTTTTTCATCATAGATTATTTTTTCCTCTCAATAAGTCAAAACTTGAAACTTATATAATTATATATAAATATAAAGTAAATTTAGAAATATTGCCCATTATTATTAGTTATCCTCTTAAAATCTGTACCAGCCACAGCATTTTCATAAGCAGTCGAGGCCCTAGTTAAATGCTTATAAAACAAAGCTAATGGTAAAAATGGATAAAAAAGGTTAAAAAAGAATTGCTTTAATATGGCAAATAAAAAAGTATGTCAAAAAATGGTTACGAACAAAACACAGATAGGACTATCCACTGTAAGATACCTTTTGATAGAGATCTGGGCTGATCTCACTGTGGCATGGAGCAAACACTCCATTGGAGTCTGACAGCAGAGAGCACCACTTCTGAGCATATTTCTCTGTAATAATGATAGGAATAATAACAGTGTTTAATGCAGCACTTCTTAGAATCACACTCTGTAATATGTTTAAGAACACTTTAAAGTGAAAGTGAAAGAAAAACGGTGAGGCGTACCATTTTCCAAGCTAAGACTGCATGGGTTCTCAAAGCTGTTCTTTATTTCAGGGCAGTTGGCTCTGGTCCTCCAGCTGTTGGCGAAGCCTACACCAGTACCCTCACAGGACCCACTCATAGTGGTGAAATCATCACTTTGCATGTCATTGAAGTTTCCACATAGGCCTAAACACGGAGAATACAAGCATTAACTCTGTTATTCAATCAATGCAAGAACTATACATATATAAATATGAACATATGAACATAACACACCAAGTAACTTCTGCTTGTGAGTTGCATCCACTGTTATGTAAACCTGCATAATTGGCACAAGCTGAATCTCCATCTGAAGTCCAAAAGAGGTCTGCACGATGACGTAAAATGTGGTCGGTCTGAAAATGTTCACACCCGCTACAAAAAGAAGATAAATGTACAATAAATACTGTTATTTATTGAGCAAGTAATAGATTTAACATGACAACAAGCCTTTGAAAATGATTTCCAGCAAGTCAGTGCATTTCTGCTTTCTATGTAGGGATCTTACTGTACCTTCGTAGTCACTCACCTGTAGAGAGAGGAAGCTGAGAAAAGATTCTGTTGACAAAGACTTTTCCATCAGGCTGGATGCTGAACACCTAGAAGGTAGTGGACACATTTAGCATGCAGAAGTGTAATTTTTCAGAAAAGGTTTCCATTTTCAGTTTATTACAGCACTATGAAAATATTACATCTGAAACAAAAGCTGTGCTTTATTGTTTACCAATCTAACACTGTAGCCAGAAGATAGTGCATTAGCCCTGTGCTAAAATACTAATCAGAAGTGAGCATGCTAGTCACGATATAATAATACAGTATGATACTTTTTATTGTTACATTGATATTAGCATGATTTAAACAGTGGAGTATTGCATGTTGGGGTTTGCATATTTGCATGAATGAAATTTGGTGAATCTGCTTGGCTATTTATCTTTAAAAGTCTTGGTTCAGGGCCTTATTGATTTACTACAATGGAAACTGGACAGGGTATTCTCTTAAACTAACTTGTCTGATTCAGCTCAAAAACAAATTTCTGATGTGTCTTATAATAGATGTTATGTCAAGCAGTATACTACACTGTGGACTAAATTCTTAAGTCTTAAGATCTGGGAAAAGATCTAGAAACAAGTGAACATCATTTTGGAATCAAATACTAAATGATGTGATTGATTTAGGAAATTTTCAAACAGGAATATGTTTGAATGATGTCAGGTTGTCACTCTATGGTTAATGTTTTGAAATGCTCTGTTTTGAAATATCTCTTATATACTGGGCAGGTTTATTTGATATAACAATTCCTTACGGTGTTCCCTCCGGAGAGGGCCAGGGTGACCGCCTTCAGACACGCCTCTGTATCAGACAGACCACATTTCACCAGGTCTCCTACAACCGTGAAGTCTGTGCCATTGGTTTGCTGGAAAAAGAAGAACACAATTAACACTAACACTGGTATAACAGAGGTGACAAATAAAAAGGAGATTTTACAACCCACTACAAACCTCTTCAGCTTTGTATATCCATATCTTGAAGGAACTACGTGGAAAGCATTTCAAAGGTCAATAAGCATCACAGCCAAAACAGTTCCAATAGAAATGAAAGCACCGTTCTAGTTTCCATTTTTATAATGGCTCAGTGGAAGGGCATATGAACACAAACTATAGAGCTCCAGTGTTCCAAGCCTCAAACTGTATGCTGCAAAACGGCACAGCAGAGGGTTTTAAAACTCTGGCAAATTAAACATTCGACACAAGTATGTGTATATTGTTCTTCAAAGGCAATTTAGAAAGATAAAACTTTTAAGTGGTTTCTTCAGAAACTTTAAATTGGATTTTAAAGTAAGAAAGTGTGAACTTGTGAGCGAGTACAGTGCAGAGAAGGTGCTCACAGAAAGTCCTGGCAGTTTCAGAAGGTTTCATAAAGCCATTATAAAAGGCACATAGTTGAATAACTAATTGTAATAAAAGTTGAAATCAAGCAAAGAAACTGAGCCTCACTGAGCTCACACAGACATTTTCATGAACAAGGAAAATGCATAATGAAAAGAAAAATTAAATTTCAAGACCATAAGCAAATAATGGTGTTGAACTGAACAGTTTTTCTGGTATGGAACTCATAAGAACTAAAAACAAAGATAAAGAAAGCTCTCAAAAATTAGCTTACTTAAATACTTAATGAAGAACTTGAACTGACACAAAATGACCACTCTATTGCAAGAGAATATTTCTGATTGTTGCAGCCAGAAAATTATATATGAATGTCTATGGGTAACCACAAGTATGAATGCAAGAAAAAATATTTTTGCATCAAGAATGTTTTCTTAAGACACAGCAATGTGTGTTTTACAGACTGATGAGCTTTTACTAACACCAAAGCAGTCAAAAAAGGGCCTATAGCCCAAAACAAAGAGCTGGTAAGACCATTCACGTAGCAGTTTCGATAGCATGAGTTAGTAAAATAAAAGACTTATTTTGAATAAGACTTTAAGGACACGTCCAGTGACTGTCAACAGGCCCTGAAATGGTTTCCTATTGTAGAGAAGGTGGGAACAATGACTGGGCCGAGAAAGCAGGACAAGTAAGACAAGTAAAATGGAAGAAATTTGAAGGAATCATCTATATGGCATAGACTTAATGGCTGAAATAAGGAAGAAGCACAACTGCCATTAAGAGAGTAAAGTGTGCAGTCACCACCTTATATGAAAGAGAAATATGTCTGTGTGCTTACATAAGAGGTGATAAAGGTGAAAAAATATTTAGTCAGAATCAGAATCTTTATTCGCCAAGTACCAGATAGACAGGGTATTTCTCTGGGAATATAAGATTCCTTAGTCCCCAAAGTCATAAGTTCTGGAAAGAAGTCTGGAAGTCTAGAAACTCATTTTGGAGTCTAAGTGTAATGTGTTTGATTAAGGACATTTTCCAGCCTGAAAATGCTTGAATGTCAGCACGAAGTTGGTTTAGAATCACTCGAGAAATAAGTAACAGACTTCGCAAACCAAGTAACAGATGGTTCCAAAAAACTGAAAGAACATATGTAAGGTTTGTAAATGTGATGTCTATAATTAAAGACAAAATTTCGTTTACACTTCCCAAAAACCAGGAAAATATGTAGCTGTCGCACTGACCTTAGCAAGGACATATGTACAGTCACCATGGAAAGTGTATGCCTTTCCATCGAATGTGGTGATATGAGAGCCTCCCTCCACAGAGCAGGTTGCAGGACAGTCTTTCTCTTTACAGCTCCACTGATTGTTGGTGCATGTGCTACACAGGGGAGAATATATAAGATGAATCAGGAACGGTCAAAAGATGTCAGTCTAGCAGTGTTTGAAGAAGAAGAAGAAGAAGAAGAGAAGTCACAGATAAAACTTCTCACCATTCCTTGCAGTTGCTGGTGAAGGACTGACCAGGCTGATAGGTTTTTCCATTATGGGTGCAGGAGCACTGTTCCTGTGTTATACATCCTTTACCAGTGAGGTCATCAAGCACATAACCTGCAACGCAACACATCCAGTCATTGATCTCTATAGACGTCTAGATATTAATAAATTATGATGAAATTCTGGACACTATTATAACCATTGCAACTTGATTCTTGGTGTTTTCTGTCATCTAAGACTTATCTACAGCTCATTGTTAATCAGAATGAATGCCTGTTTTAGGAACCTACAGTACCTGCTGGGCAGAAGCATCCATCGATGCAGTGTTCTTCACAGACGTGGCCTCTGTCAGGGTTGGAGCAGGTGTTGATGCAGGGGTTCCCGCACTCCTGGTGCACCATGTTTTGGTAAGGGCATGTTTTAGCTGTAAAACAGAGCATGCAGATGTATAATAGTAAGGCTTAGCTTTACTCAAAGCTGTGAACTGCAAATAACAATACAGCTAAAAGCAAAAGCAGTGGAACACATCAGTATTCACAATATCAGACCTCACTTCCATTAAATTCTGATTCTTTAGGAAATATTTCAATGAAATGATTAATGGCATTTCACCACAATTTGATCCGCTTTGATTACAATACAGAATTACTTTTAAATATGCAAATGTGGCTGAAGGGATTGTTAACATAGTAGCAGAACATAGACAATAAAAACAATACACCAAGCTTCCGTTGGATGTTTACATTTAAATAGTCTAGGTTTATTTTGGCCAAAGAAAATGAGCGCATGCACTAGCATTTCAGAATTGAGAAGCTTGGAATCACTTGCAGTTTTAAATTTTTTAAAAGAATTTATTTAAATACACTTTATACAAACTTCTACAATGTGGATCAACATATTAAAAGAAAAGTAAAAAGTATTAATAGATGTTTTAATCACAATTTAGGAATTCTGTAAAAAAGTATACTATAAATAATATGCCGTAATATCAGAATCATTCGTATGCATTCTCTGCAACTAAGTAGGTTTTCTATTATTGAAAGCATAGATTCCAAACATTTTGGCAGTGATTGCAAACTGTATTGTCTATAACACATTATAACATTACAAACTCAATGTCATTGAATCAGCATCTTCAGATAGATTTACACTTCTAATATCTATGTAAACTTTGTTAGATATATGTGTACATTAAGGCTCTGGATTCAACTCACAGCAGAACTGGTCTGTCCTCCACTGGCTGGGTTTTCCGCCGGCGTGCACGCACTGGCGGGAATACTCTGAGATGGTGCTGCACAGGCAGAAAGAGCTGGAGTTTTTGCTGCACTGGCACATGTCCACCTCACAGGCTTTGATGAAGAAATCAAGGGCCACGAGGTCCTTACAGCTGCTGAAGGACGGTCCTGAGAGCAACTGCTCACACACTGATGTCTACAGAGAGAAGACAAGAGTTTATGTAATAAATAAATAACTATGCAAAGAGTCAAACTTTTTTGTCAACCATCCTATTTTTCACTTAATGGCCACTTTATCTGGAACCCCTTCCTTGTAACTTCACTCATCTGTTGATGCACAGTTTATTTTAGCCATTTTCCAACTCAGAGGTCTTCAAATCTGGACCTTGAGTCCAGTTTCTGGTCTTAGATTTTGTAATTACGGGTAGGTGTGATGCTAGGTGGCCAGTCAGATACATTAACAGTTCAGCTAACTATCACTAACTATCACTACAAAATCCAGGACCAGGACCTAGATGCAAGGTCTGGATTTGAGGACCTCTGGGCTAGAGGATGGCTAACACAAATGCATCAGCAGAGGGGTGGAGCTACAAATGAAACAATATCTAGTCAGTGGTGGTCCTGTAGTGGCCTCTTTCCATTGATGAATGGGTAGAGGGGTGTAGATAGGGTACAGTTCTGAAACTGTAAACCTACAAAGTGCACCTGTACACCTGTGTGACGGGCAGCTCATTATTAAACATCACAGTAATAAAACCGAAATATGTGTAAACCCTCTTCCAGTTCCAGCGTGAAGTAACTTTGATAGATCATTTTGTAAATCAGTCACATGGCTGTTAAAGGGTTAAGCCTCCTTTATGCCAGATTAAACTCTAGTGAAGTTATTGTGTCTGTCAGACATGAATATGAATACATTATATTGATATTACACCAGATCATACCAGCTTGTTGCATGTGCTGTCTGATGAAATGGATGATGCCGAGCAGCTCTCTGTTGGAGCATCCATCTTAGCAAAGTGTCCATAGTCAGACGGAGATATCTCAGCACCTTTATTACACCAAAGAAAAAAACACAATACTTATACTTACAATTGGCTATTTGCATGAAGTGAGGAAGGCAAATCTTGTAATGTAAATCATTAATAGCCTTAAATGCTTCAATACCATGTAGTACCACTGCATGGTTTAGTAATATCTGCATATTGTAGGATTGCAATGTTCATAAACAGTGAGAGTGTAAACTTACAACTACAAAATTCACACAGATAATGTTCTTAAAGCATAATTAATTATGTGTGAGTGACTAGAGAGCAAAATGTAAAACACTTTATTGGAACTCATATCATTCTAGGACTATTATTTGTATATTGTCATGAATCTCAGCAATAAAAACCACGCAGGACAGGACTTTAAAAAAGTTCTGGACCATAGAACATACCATTTTTGATGAATTCGTTGTAGAGCTGGACCCCATTAAAGTCGCCACACAGTCCACAAGTTTGATTTTTGTACTTGCTGTCCAGTTCAACCTGAAGAAATGAGAGAACGCAATACAGATTGAAGTGGTGTTTCCTGAATTAATGCAGTATCATGAATTCAAAATACAGTAGGCTTCAGCTAAACATTTATTTAGCATATCCAACTTTTATGCTGTTCAAACTATATGTAGTAATCTAAACTTGTGCATTATGGTTTACTGCAATGTAAGATAGCTTTGTTTTCTGAGCATTTTTGTTGCATGAAATGCTTTCCCAGTTTGCTGTTTTATAGTAAATTGATGTTGATAACAGTGAATCCAAAGCAATAACCACAGTTCACTGTAAAGACAGTGTTAAATCACCGCTAGGGGGGTCGCTAGTAGTAATGCACCAAACTGATGTACTGTATCAGTCTCAGTATTGACACTGGCCCTAAACTGATCAGGTGTCAGTCAGATATGACAGTTGATGCTGTTTCATGCTCATGGTTGTTATAAAATTGTAATAGCAGTTTTTAGGCCTCCTAAAACATTGCAAATTAATTACAATTACAATTTGTGCAATTCTGAAAAGACTGTTGGTGTACATCCATATTTGCTGTGTGACATTAGCATCTACTGTATATTTATCTTTATGTACTTTGTACACCTTAAAGGAGCACTAGTATCAGATTGGTGCTCAGTATGGCTGACACAGATATCAGAATCAATATCAAGTGAGAAAAAAGTTTGCTCGGCAGCACTGCTCCAGTTATATGTGAAGTAACATGTTAGTTTTGAAGTTTTCACTCACCATGAAAGCATCGTCATTATTCCACATGGCTGTGAGCCCCAGCTTGGCCGTAACTTTGATGTAGGAGGGGTTTTTCTCAATGAGTACTCCAGAATGGCTGTACGGCAGAGTCACCCTGCAGAAAAATAGAAGCAATACAGTTTCACCTTTCACCACCATTCAATTCAGTTCAGTTCGGTTCAGTTCAATTCAGTTATTTTGTTATGATTCAGAATAATTTTTATATATAATAAACTGAATGCACAAATGTGACTGAAGAGACTATTGACACAGAAGTGGAATACAGACAATAAAGACTATCCACGAAGGTTTTTTTTACATTTTTCCTGTTTACAAATAGTACAATCATTGTAAAAATGAGCGCCATATATTTGAAACTGATTATAATCGATTCTAATATTCCAAGTCAGTGCTTCATGATGCATTTTCTGCTTTTATTATTTATCTGTTTCAGACGACTGTAGCAGACCATAAAAGTATTGAGTGTACTCACTCCTGGTCGTCTACGCTGACTGAGCCGTTGGTCAGCTCCACAGCCGTGCCCTCCAGCTTCATGGTGATCTTGCTGATGGTGGGATGGCCATCCACCACCTGCCGCCGCATCTGGATGTTGAACTCCTCGTAGCTGCCCCTGCACTGTGAGGTCAGGATGTAGTTGCAGGTAGAGGGCAGCTGGAAGATGTCACCATCAAAAGTCTTGAAGTGGTAGTTCCCCCATGTGCTGCAGACTCGTTCATTATGAGCGGGGCTCACGCCTGTCAATCAATACCAGAGGTAATCAATAAACAATATAACTATTCTGCACTCACCAAAATGAAAGTTTCACTCAACTACTATCTACGTGAAGTATTCAGTATCTACACAGAATTATTCTGTATCTACTGTGAATTATTCAGTACCTTCAATTAATTTTTCACTATCTACTATGAATTATTCAGTATCTACTATTAGTTTTTCAGTAACTTCTACACATTATTTAGTATCTACAATGAATTATTCAGTAACTACTATAGGTTATTCAGCATCCACAATAAATTATTCAGTATCTACTATGAATTATTCAGTATTCACTATGAATTACTCAGTAAATACTATTCATTATTCAGTATCTACTGTAAGTCATTCAGCAACTATAATGGATTTTTCAGTATCTACTATGAGTTGTTCAGTATATTAATTATTCAGTATCCACTATGAATTCTTCACTATGAATTATGAAATATTCAGTACAAAGTATAAAATATTCAATCAACTATAAATCAACTAAAAAATGTTCAGTAACCACTATGAATTATTCAGTATCTACTATGAATTGTTCAGCAGCTACTATGAATTATTCAGTATCTACTATGAATTGTTCAGCAGCTACTATAAATTGTTCAGTGATCTTTAATCAATGTGCTTTAAATTTACTCAACTTTAATTAACTCAACTATATGTACTTAAGTCCTAACATTTGCCACACATCTTAATACTACAGCACAACGCATTAGAAATCTGTAATAAAGTACAGTGGATGTCTACAAATTTGCTATATTCATTTGCTGTACACCTCTTTGAATACACTAAAACTGGTAATAGTAGATACCACTACTTAGTTTAAATCAAGTTCCTTTTTTTTAACAAACTGATATTTTACTCAAAGAATGAAACTTCTCAGAAATGTAATCAAATTGCTACTTTTTAGCAAATATTACTAAGAAATATTAACTTTTGGTCCCAAACTTTAGAATTAAGGGTTTAACTTGGAATTAAAGTGAGGCAATTGGTTTCCCAACTGTTTGAAAGTGAGCTTTGTTAAAGATTCACTGTATACTTTATACTATACCCTTATTTCAGGGCATAATTCTTGTCAGAGTTTAAAATGAAATTATAATGATATTGTAATGTGAGAACTTTGCATTATGCTGTGACTGTGTTGGTTGAGACAGATTCTCACCTGAGGTCATGATTATCTTGGTCATTGGGGGGATGATGTTGACTGGTCCATTTGCTGTTGGAGCAAAGGGAAGGTCAGTATGATGCTAGAAACTCGAGTTACACAATTTATAAGCTAACAAAAACACCAATGCTTTCCATCAGCGCTTATTGTTATTATTAATCATCTGTTCAGCATGAAATTTTCACAATAGAAGGAGCAGAACTGGAAGAACAGGACATAAGTCTTTCTAAAGGCCCCACTTTGGTCAAACAACTCAGCCCTACCGAGTAGGAGAAGTAGATTCAGAAAAAGTAATGCTGAATTCTTATGGTTGTTACAAGAGCAGCAGATCTGAAGTGGCTAATTAAAGAAAAGGTTGTTATCCGTACCTGTCTGTGTGGCGCTTATTCCAACGGCTAGTACCATCCATCTCAGCATCCATATCGGAATCGCTCTGTAATTCCCCATGGTGGCCCTGTGGGTCGGCTGATGGCCCACAGGAGTTTGAGTGTGGCTCTTAGCTGAGCTTTAGCCTTTATAAGACCTTCTATTGTGCGAAGGCCAAGGAGGGGCTGAACTTGGCTCCTTACCAACATGTCAATGGTTCGCTGATTTTAATCTAATTGGCTACTTATGGATTCATGATTTCGGTGTTGGGAATTAGTGTATAAATTAAAATCTGACTGATTAAGCTTTTATTTTAATTTTAATACTGTATAGACCTTTAAGATTCATAGACCTTCTGAAAGGCCTTAACAAATCAATGTTACACAAAAGTGACCATTGATTTATTAACCCTTCAGTTTTCAGTCTTATTATCCTAAGCTTTATTATTCATTGACTACATAGAAAACAATGCAAACTGAGTCGATTTCAGCAGTCAGGAATGAAAGCTTGGGCCCTTGTTTGGGTCCTGACCATTTTAAGGGTTACAATCACCATTTAACTGGATTTCTATTCTCCGTATAAATATTAATATATTTTACATTCCTTAACATGTAACATTTAGCTAAGTACATACTGTTACAAAATGTGTTCCCATGGCATTTTCGTTGTTTACTTGATTGTTTTATCTTATTTTGACTCACACCGCACACGCACATGCTTCTGCAGGTGTGTACCTATTAGAAGATTAATTGTCAATTATGTCCCTCGACCTTACGCTCCATCTGCCTTTCCCTTTTGTTTTCCTTATCTGGCTGACAGCAAATTTACACAAAGGCATTAAAAGCTCATGAGTCAAAATGAATAAAAACCCCACGTGTACTTTTGCTCTATCTCACACAAAGTATGTTTCATATCAGTGAGTGCTCAGTATACACCCATTCAATCACAGGCTCCACCAACAAGCCTTTCTGCTCGGTAAAAAAATTAAAGTCAACTTAAAATTAGAAGTCAGCTCACTTACAGAGCTTTTCTTAGCTCAACTTGAGGAGAATTACACTTCTCACATTTTTTAGTTTTGCATCTCTGTAAGGTGAACTGCATATGCAGCACTGTGGAAAGGTTTTACATGCCTAAGAAATATTTGAGCTGTTTATCAGGGCAGAAAAACACTAATATTAGAACAAACACATGCAATATTAATACAGTACATAGCAATTTTATGTGTGTTAAAGTTTATGTTTAACCATTAAAACACTGAACATTTTTACAGTGAAAATCAGTTAAGATCTGATGCTGCATGCAATAATCAGCAGATCTCACAGGCGAGTGGACACTGCTCAAATGTACAATATTTTCTGCATAACATTATAACCACTAATAATTTGCCCTGTACACTTCAGCAGGGCTGCTTTGTGAGCTAAATAATCAATATTATTTTCTCATAATGTTATCTCACACCTTTTTTCCTGGCAGTTTGCCACCCCAATAAAATCACTGAGTCTAAACTGGGCACCCCGTTGAAAACCTGGCTACACCCCTGACTGTATGTTTGGTTGCATTTATTTAATCTAATAGATGCTGTTTTTTACAAGCACAAATACACTTAGTGCCAAGATAAATGGTTTAAAATAATGTGCTTAGGTGCCAAAGACTTTTGCACAGTACTGTATGCACTGTAATTTTTGCTCAGTTTTCCCACAAGCTGGGACTCTTTCTATCACACCGTGCCACCAGGCATCTCCTCCTCTTGGGCTCCCAGATATTGGATGGATGGGGTTTGAACTCACAACCTCCTGATATTGGGGTGAATACATAGTCAGCCACTTGAGAGCCCCTGAATTTGCTTCAGTGTAGCACTTTTTTGATAACTGAACACAGCATTTGCAAACTGGTGGGTTTAAATGTTAATTTTAGTCCAACACAATCTGCCCGTGGGCAGTGTTCATAAGGCTGCATGACACCTAAATAAGCTTATCATTAGAATTCACATCATGAAAACTATGTAAACATTTATATTCCAATAGGCAACATATTATTTCGCCAAAAAGGTCATGTGACAGTATTAACCTGACATTTGTGTAATGTCAACTTGACATGAAAACATGTAGGTGGCATGTAGCCTTATGAACATGACCTACAGTGAAGTCTTAGCAAATATTCATGGCGACCATATGGATAGAGTTTCTCCAGAATGTCCTGTCTTCCATTTGGTTCCAAATTCTGACTGATTGTGTTTTTTGCAGCTCTGAATTCTCTTTTCCCACAAATGGACGTCCAGAAGGCAAGCCTCGTTCTTCTTTAGTAACAAGTTGAGTGCCTTCTGACCTGAGGGTCCCTTCTTCTGGCTCAGCAATCATTCTTTTGTGTCTATCTATGTGATTTACCATCACTGTCCACACAGTTAAATTGATGTCTTTGTCGTTGTCACCTCTGTGATCATTTGCCAATGACATCATCCTTTATCACTGCTGCCCAATACCAGTGGCAGGTCAGTCTGGCATCTCTGTTAAGACCTTTCTCCCATGGGAGACCCTAAAAGGAGTTACAAAGCACAGCTTTCTGCTTCTTTGATGCACACAAGCCTCAACAAGGTACTATACCATGAGAAGGAATTTGAGATTATTCAAAAAAAAAAAAAAATACAAACAGTGAATGTGTTTGTCACCTTATGAGCTGAAACTCCTTAAATGGTTGTTGGATTTCAAGTCATTTCCTCTGCACAATCCGAGTCCGAGTCCGCAGTGCAGCTGTTGTTCCCCCCAACATCAGGAGGTTGTGAGTTTGAACCCCAGTGATGCCATAGCCATCCATAAGTGGGAGCCCAAGAGGAGGAAATACTTGGTGGGATTGTGTGATTGGAAGAGTTCCAGCTAGTTGAGAATCTGAGTGAAAAGTATATATTCTAAATAATTTACCTAATGGAGATACAGAGTTTGACTTTGAGTGAACTTTAGTGTCATCAAGTTAACTCAAGAAAAGCTGTGTAAACAAGTTGACTTGTAATACTATGTTGAGCAGACATTAACTTTTTACAGTGTAATATCATGAGGATGCCTGTTCACATCTACAGAGACGTACACGTCCACTTGTGAAATGTAACTGTTGATATGCAATCTACAGAATGAATGTCTTTTGTTAAGTCCCTTTTTGTTTTCATTTTGTTCAGACCACTTCTAACAGGGAGGGGAATCAATTATTCCGATTACATTTCTTTTTAGGTCTGAGCACATGCCCGGACTGGCTGAACTTATATGAACTCAGACTGAAGCAATCTGAGCTATTTCTTTGGCACATTGTACGCATTATTGTAAAGTATTGCTTCTAATTCTTCTCAAACTTCAGCGTGCAGTCTCTGCTGTCTTTCATGCTGGCTTGTTTGATTTTGACTCATATCACACTCACATCTGCAGGTGTTCTCATCGAGGTGTGTTCTAATTACTTATTTTAATGCCACACCTGAAATGCATTCTTGGGAAAGAACGTGTTAATTTGACTCATTGATTGACTACATCAGGATTCAGGATCTGCTTCAGAGATTTATGAACAAAATAATTAGTGAGCAGGATCTTGGGAAGGCGTTTCACTCACAGTGCTGTGCAGCTGACAAAATAAGAAGCTATTTAAAGCTGTTAATCCGTGCAGGAAGTGTTTACTGCTTGGAAATTAGAATAAACACAGATAAACTTAATTTAATATAACTGTGATTGACATATGTCAATTTGTTAACCATAGCAATGAGTTATAGCTATAATATAATAGCTACAAAAGATATTGATATTTGTATTTATGTTTATGTTTATTTAATGTTACATTGTGTTTATCCTGGCAAAAATTACTGTCCAGAAAAGTTTTAAACAATATTCTCAGGTACTTATGAATATTCAAGTTTATGTACAAATTTTTGCACAGTTCTTGTATGTTATAATAGAATAGTTCTTCTCCCTTCTGACAGAAATTTAAGTGCTGTATTGTAGCAACATGTGTTTTGGAACTGCAGAGTGTGGCAGCACGTACAGCTGATATTGCATCTCACACTGAGCCAAACAGACACTTCTGGACAGAGCTGTAAATGGTAGTTTTAAAAGATGGTAAAAATGTACAGTGTAAAGTTATTGTTTTGTAGATAAATCACTAAATTAGGCTAAAATGCAAAGACAAATCTCTAAATTGGTCTAAAAACTGAACATAAATCACTAAATTGGCCTGAAATGCAAATCTGAATCACTAAAACAGCCTAAAATGCAAAGATTGAGCACTATATTCAAATCAAAATTTAAATAAAATTTGACATTTTTATTAAAAAGTTGAAATTCAAATTACATTTTTATTAAACATCTTTTTTATTAAATTCAAATAAAACACAAAATAACTAAATAAACAGAAAACATAATTATAAATCACTAAATCTTTGTAAATAGCAAAGATAAATCACTAAATTGGCCTAAAATGAAAAGGTAAATCACAAAATGCTGAGTGCTTCACTCTCTCAGACTCCTGACCACAGTGAGCTGAAGCATAGCATAGACTTTGCTTTTCATGACCTGCTGTGTCCTGATGATCAGATAGTTATTCAGTCTACAGGTAGCTGTTCATGATCTCTGCACTGAGAACTCACTGTCCGATCATGAGGTAGTATTAAAGCGCTCGTCGCTCTGCTCTGAGTTCATCCACCTTTATGTTACTTTCTGGAGCTTCAGCGAGGCCGAAGTCCGAGTGGATCAGCAAAGCAGCACCAATATCTCACAGTACAGCACCACCTCCAGTGTATTACTGCAGTTATACCACAGTTTCATTATTGATACTAAATGTGAAATTTTGAAACAATGATGACACAAAAACTGATTAAGAAGACGGTTTATTACACAGCTCCGATCTACCTACACAGAACAGGAGATGTTAACTAGCTGCGCATAACATTTCTGTAACACATTTCAATCTAATATCAGTAGCTGACAGCAAATAAAAACAGTTTGTAATACTATCGAAACTCCCAGTAGCCAGCAGTCCCCCTTTGAACTGAGTTAACATCCATGGAGGAAGAGTCATACGCCTCACTTTTCTCCACCTGCTGGATTTACTTTCTCCTCAGTTTCTGGCTAGTTTAACTGTGTTTT